CGTGCGGCAGGATCATCGTTCCCATCGCATCAGGGAGGTTGCAGCAGCTACAGTTCGCGACCGCAACAGAGGATACAGCCCTAGGTGCTATGGCTGTGGGGAAAAGGGCCATCTTCGGTCCAGCTGCCATAAGCACACCCTAGGAAGGGAAGGTGAACGTTCTCAGAAAGGAAGTGCGGCTAACAGCACCGCCCAGCAGCAGCAGGAATACGACTTTACTATCAGACACTGCAGCGGGGAATCTCACGGCAACGCAGATGCATTGACAAGAAGACCTTGTCCTGAAGATTGCAACCATTGTAGTAGGCAAGAGAGTAAGGAAGTGGTATCCGTGAGGATGCTCAGGACAGACCACCTCAGCAACGGGTGGAAGGACAGCCTACGACATGCACAGCAGGAAGATCCGGACATCAAGCCGATTCTGTGATGGATGAAGGCCCGTGCTACCAAGCCTAAGTGGAGGGACGTCTCAGCGATGAGTTCAACCACGAAAAGCTATTGGGCCCAATGGGACAGCTTGCTGATTCAGGATGGAGTCCTGTGCCGTAAATGGGACAATGGTCGAAGGGACAGCTGTCGTTTGCAAATGGTTGTCCCTAAAGCTAAAGTGCCGAATGTTCTACAGCTGTGCCATAATGGTCGTTCAAGAGTCCATCTGGGAGTTAAACGAACTCTACTGAAGGTCCGAGAACAGTTTTACTGGGTCCATTATCGTGACGATGTCGAGGATTGGTGTCGTACATGTACAAGTTGTGTGGCCGTGCGGGGACCTCAGACACGTAGTAGAGGAGCACCGAAATTGTACAATGTTGGTGCACCACGGGATAGAACAGCCCTTGACATTGCGGAGCCGTTAGAGAAAGGCGCAAGAGGGACTCCTAAGATCGTCCATGTGAATCGCTTGGCGCGTTATTATGGAGCCGATAATGCTCGAGACGAGCATGTCTTAGGAGGGGGCAGTGTTACGCGCTCAAGTCGACGATACACTAGCGCCATCTAGTGTCAGGAACGAGAGCGAGGGGAGCATTGAGAAAATGACATCACAAATCACTCAACCGACAGCGCCTAGTCGAAACTCGAACGCTCGGTACCTTGCGCGTGTTTACTTGAACATTCTGGATATTTCTTTGCTAATTTAAATAAATAGGCGCTGCAAGATGCGATCGGAGTAGAGTTGATTTGACGAAACAAGCGAAGCTTCGGAGCGGAATTAAGTGAATTAGTGTGTTTAATTATTAGTGTTTTTAACTTTAGTTTGTGTAAAGTAAATTAAAGTGTTAATTTAGGTAATTTTATCGGCAATTTTTATTGTCACGAACCCTAAGCTCGTAACAATACTTTTTCTTCACCTCCTAATCGATGTGTGCTGAAGTTGTTGCGTGAACCTGAATAACTTTCAACGAATACCGTTTGGTGATTCTGAGTATAAGCCACCCGTACGCAATCCACGTTGACACACTCCCAATCTTTACAACGTTGTAAACAAAAGCCTTGTGGACGATAAATCTGATCTTGGGACAGATGTTCCCCTAAGATAGAACAAGTTGCCAGGTTCGAGGATTACCGTTTCCTATTCCTCTCTTCGGACCTCAAATAAATTATGGGTGCAAAGTGCAACTGAGTTAAAATATCTTTTAGTAGTCATATACATTACATATCGCATTACATGTTATAAACATAATTATACACATATATTATTATATACGTGTATAATTATGTTTATAACATGAACTGATACTGAAACATTTCAGATATTCAGGGACAAACGGATCGTGTAAAACTGAAAATAATGTGCACAGTATTCTGAAATATCAGCGATAGCGGAGAGATAGCCATTTAAGTTGAGAACGATAAGAGGAGATGTGGTCGTATTTACGTAAACCGAAAATGAAGCGTATACAATTATTAAGAAGTCGATCCAGTTTGTTTAGAAGTTCTTGAGAGGCATCAGCATAGCAAACATCTGCATAATCTAAAATAGGCAACACTAGAGTCTGTATTAGCATCGCCTTAATCCCTATCGGTAAAAAAATTTTGAAACGATACAGATAACGCAGAGTGTGAGTGACCTTTTTGCTAACTTAATATATATGCGGTCGCCAACTAAGGGTGTTGTCAATAACTAAGCCAATATCTTTAACAGTTGTTGAGTAAGGAATAGTAACATTATTAAAAAGGAGAGGAGAGAGAATTCCGCCTTGAGGAACGCCAGCAGACAACGAGCACCAATCAGAGACGATCTGACGTACTCGAATAGCCTACTGACGACCCCGAAGAAACGAAGAGAACCAGTCCCACGCCGACGAAGAGAAACCCAGGTGACAAAGTACAGCTAGGAGAGTATTATGATCGACAGCGTTAAAAGCGTTAGATAAATCTATTAGAACTAACACAGTCAATTTTGAGTTCTTCATTCCAGTACGAAAGTCTTCTGTGCGCAAGTCACTTACTTATCCAGAACTTATGTTCTCATCATAAGTTCTGGATAAGCAAGTGACTTGCGCAATAGCTGGTCCACTTTTACTAATCTGACGTGTTTCCAGTACCCTCTGTGCATGATGGTTCAACCGTCCAACTCCAAGCATTCGTCCATAAAACAAACCATAAACCATCCTATACATCGAAACTAAACGCACGATGTCGCTTGATGTACTCGATTCTGTTTGGGTAGACGGGTATTTCACTTTTCAATTAGTTCAGTCCCACTCACTTTATTTCTAAAAGTCCAGATAATTCTTTTCTCTAATCTTTTCATTTGGGTTGATATACCGCCGCTGCCATTGAATGCTGGGCGAACTCAGCCAAATTCTATACAACGTGCGCAAACTACCTCTACCACTCTACGTATCGAGTGTGAGAGTCGTTAGAGGGTTGGAGGACTCATATGGAGCCAGTATTAGACGAATTAATTTTCATTTTAAATCTGGTGTTTCGATGATGAAACTTTATTTTCGAAAAACTTCATTTTGTTTTTCTACCACGTTTCTTTTTCATATAGATGCTTCCGTTGTCATCCGATTCTGCGCTTTGTTCAACATCTCACGCCTCTTGCTCATCGGGAAGTCAATTTAAAATCAATTACTAAATTCTACACGAACAGACATACACATAAGCGAGTTAATAAAAACGTAGTAAAAAGTTTGGTAAAATAATAATTTCTTTTTAAAATTCATACTAGGTATATTATGATTGTAGCACGAATGGGTCGGCTCTATCGGGGAGGGACCACGCTCGCACAGTGTCAGCGTGAAATAGCAGTTTAATGCTGCTGTGTTTCGTATGGTGCGTGTAGAGATCCGGAGACCCTTTTTTACTGGAAACAAAGCATTCCATCTTAGTCCTCAGAAGTGACAACGCATCTACCTTTTGATTTTTAATCGAGGATAAATGTATATGTCTATGGGCCACAGCATCCACTTACCATCAGGTGGACTGTGTGCTCGTTTGTCACTCTTATTCTATAAAAAAAAGTTTCATAAATGCTTACATGGCGGTTGAATAGTATTTGCATTAAATAAGATAAAATTCAAACTTGATTAGTTAGAACGTCAAGTTTAGATACGTCAAACCAGTAACCGTCAAAAATTTTTAAGAATTTTAGGGTATTTATTATAACTTTGAAGACATTTATTTATGCAATATGGTCGATATTCATATATTACTCATTTAGTGAGTTTGAAATGCAAAAGAGTGCTAGTTTGGAAAAAGTAAGTAATAGTATACGAGTGTAACTATTTATAATAATCAAATTGAAACTCTGTACTTCCGAATCAAATAGAAATTAATGATGTCAGGAAACCAGCATGTCTGAAAGACGTTAATGTTTTCCTTCAATTCTACGCGTGGTAATTTAGCAGTGAAAATTGGAAATGCCTCCAGTAATGTCATTCGTGCCAACGGGATTTAAACTTGGTTTGCGCGCGTCTTCAGGCGTGCATATTTCTTGAACAATGACTAGAATAGTTTCTTAATCTAAAATCAACCAAAATTCTAATTTTAAATAAAGGCCTCTCGCAAGAAATGCCACAAAACCATCAACCACTAGAATAGGCTATTAATCTAGTTTCATCATCATCACTATTACAGTCCTTCTTAATTCCAATGCTGAACATAAACCTCTCCCAAGAAATGCCACAAAACACGTTCCTGAGCTATCTGCATCCATAAAATTCTCTGGCATGTCTTACCAGGTCCTCACTCCACCTAGTGGAGAGCTGCACTACACTTCACTTACCGATACGAATCTGCCACACGAGAATCTTTTTTCCTCATCAATTGTCAATTGCTCGAGCTATGCGACCATTGCCAATTCAGGTTACCGATTCTACTGCGGATATACTTATTTTGAATTCTGTCACTCTGGAAAACTCCGAGTCTAACTCTCTACATAGCTCGTTGAGCTTCTTCATACGTACAGCAATAAAGAACCAAGTTTAAGATCCATATGCCATTGCTGGTAACACGTACAATACATGACAGTGACAGTAATTGTCAGCTCGTATTTTCAAGTTTCGAGGTATATGTGATGAAAAGATGTATTGATATCTCCGGACATTATCCGGACATACTCCGGATGACAAGGCAGCATGCCTTGTCAAGTTGGATTTGTCGATTGACCTCTCATTTAAAGTAGAACATAATATCTAGTCGGACAATTTGTCCTGTGTAAACATTCTTGTGGACATTTTCGACTACCAGCTGACACATAGACGTGGACGTTATACATGATATTTGTCTCTGCTTTTTTTATTGGATATGGTGACAAACAAGCACACAGTCCACCTGATGGTAAGTGGTTGTTGTGGCCCATAGACATCTACATCTATCCTCGATTACGAATTAAAATGCAGATGTGTTGTCACCCGTGAGGACTAAGATGGAATGCCTCGTTTCCAGTAAAAAGGGTTTACGGTTCTCTACACTCACCATACGAACTGCAATCGCTAAACATAGCTTGACTTATTTTTAGTACTGATGAAAATACATTTAAACGATCGTTAATGTATAAATTTATGCAGGTTAACGGTGCAAACAAGGTTTCAAATGCAAGAAACGGTCTTACGCAAAACACCCACAAGTAAGTATACAATAAGCTACTTATTTCATTCCTCTACAAGATGCAGGTGTATACAAGCTAGATTGTGAATGTGGTCTCTCTTACATAGGTCAAAAAAGATCTATAAAAAGCCGCGTGAAGGAACATATAGCTGACGTGAAGCACCGACGCACCGGGCAGTCCGCGAACATGTTCAAAACGTCCCCACAATTACATTAGATTTGATAAACCACAAATCCCCGCAAAAGAACACCGATTCCTACCAAGGATGATACGCGAGGCTATTGAAATTAAAAAACATCCAAATTTCAATAGAAAAGATGGATGAGTGCTGCCATCTGCTTGGGGTCCTATAAAACAAATTTAAACCCAAACTCAAGCATGCCACTGCAAGACTCCATGATACTATAAGCTCGTTTTGCGTAAATCAGAACAAAAATTAATATTCAAAAACTGAAGGTAGCCGGACTATAACATTGGGACGTGAAACATTTCAGTCCCTTCCGTGACCATGGGTGCTGTAAAGCACCCGAAACGTCGGGATAATAAAAATAAGTAAAGGCAGAATAGTGAAAGAGCCGTGGTAGCTCAGGGACTAAGCGCTTGCTGTTTTCAGCCGAGTACGCGAGCAACCGGGTTCGATCCCAGCTGGTACCAATAAAATTTATAATTGCAATTTTAAGTGCTGATTTATCACGTACTCGGCGGTGGACGAAAACATAGTGAGGAGACCTGCACGTCTGAGAAATAAGAAAAAAAATATTTCAAAGACATGTGAAGTTCGCAAACACGCATGGGGGCAGCGCGGCGGACATTTCCTTGCTCTATAACTCTCTCAGAAATAAGACTGGCCTGTGCCCAGCGGTGGGACGTATATATGCTGACTTTTACTTTTTAGTGGTGGTTACGGGAAGGTTCGTTACAGTCATGTACATCTTAGGGTAGCGTTACCGGAAACTAATAGATGAATAAGAAACTATGACCATTTTTGTACAATTGTATGATGGTGAATGATTTGATGTAGATTGTATTTTTTTCAAAATTAACAGTTTTTTTTTAAATCTTTCTTGAATATCACTCTATAACTCTCTATAACACTCTATAAATCTGCTTGGCAAATAAATTCTTCACAGTTACCATCGTCTTATTTGGGCCCATTTTCAGATGTCGAACCGCCAAACTCACTTAATATGCTCATAGTATCAACAAGGCCCCTTCTAAGTTCACGTTTTGTAACGGGCAACTACGGAACCCTACATTGTGCGTGGCCCGACACACATGACCGGTTTTACCATTTAATTGCTAACATTTGTGTAAAAAGAAGTTTAAATATAATTTCAGCAATAATAGGCCAAGAAGAAGAATTAGAAATAGCCTCGGAAACATCTTCGAACGATATCATATTACCGTTAAGCCAAAACTTTTAAGAAGCAGCTCATTATCTGATCTTGCAACACATACTAGTGATTTTAGTAAGTATATATATATATATATATACACTTCGTTGTTATTTTAGCACACTGAAAAAAGTAGGAGGTGCTTAATTCGAATGTATATTCTTTTGTATGTATGTAATGCGATATCTTCATCAATTATGAACCGATTGTAATGATTCTTTTCTTTCTTCAATAGCTTAAACTTTAGATGAGGTTAAAAATTAGATGAATGAAAAATAGGATATGGACTTCAGTGCTTAATAACTATTAAGCACTGAAGTCCGTATACTATTTTATTTTAGTAAAAACCTTTAACACGAACATTGTAATTGCGGTTGTTTTATGGGAAATATATTAGGATTTATCATATTTGATCCAAAATAATTAAATAGCAAAGATTATCAATCAATAAACGTAAAATAACATTAAAATATTTTAACGTAATATTAATAGATAAGTTAGAAAAATAGTGGTAAATGTTTTAATGTAACTATTCAAACCAAATTCTAGTTAGTACGTTGGGTTAGTGATATAACTACGTCCATTCAAAAGTAACAAACAAAAACTTAATAAGAAGTATGCGTGATTTTGTGGTTTTGACAAGATTTTTTAAATAAAAAGTCGAAACATTTTTTTAATAAAAATATCTTGTCAAAATCATCTTACAATGTGCTCTATAAAACCTATTTTACAATCCTCCGTACTGGTGAAGGGGAGAGAGAACATCACCAATGCATGGATCAGGTCTACGCTCACCAACTCGTCTGCCCAACAGTATGAAGCATAACATGATGTGTTCTGCCGTAGACTTTTGATAGCCTGTAATAGAATGAATTAATTAATTATGTAGTGATAAGAAAGGTGCTCGAGTATCAGCTACGTACAGATTAGTGAAGTTGAGGGCGCCCCCTCCTTGGATGTAGTGACGGCCTGTGTAGTAATGGATGTTGGCATTCCTTGGAGGAGGCCTATATTCAGCAGTGGACTTGTGAAGGGCAGTAATGGTGGGGACGATCAGAAATTAAGTGATGATTATATAAATAGTGAATAATATTTTTCAAATTCAGTATATTATGCAAAGTTAATTGATATTTACAATCATGTCAAGGTATTCCTTGTCGATATTCTGGACAAACCGATCGAGCAAAGTGATTCTTTACTTTTTGTTTTAGCATTTGACTTTATCAAGGATTCTAATAAATTTCTGTCTCATCGAAAATATACAGCGTACCAACATTGCTCCGGAGATACTATTAAAACACAATACGGAAAATATCTGACTGACAAACAATACATGTCGTGGAACATTAAAGGGAAGTAAGTAATGTTGTATAACAATTATTATAAAGATCCTTTATTATACTATTAAACTAGTTTTATCGCAATTCACATAACTTATATTGTAATCTCGATAAATCTCGTGCATTAGTATCCATAGTCACGGGCGACTGAGGTTTTCGTCGTCCTAACATCAATGTAAGCCCGGGCTATACTAATGCTTTCGGCTACTAATTGATTGTAGCTTTAACCTGGTTAAAAAATTTAATTCATTACTAATCAAAAAAGTGGTGATATATAGAAGAAAGGTCAAATGAAAAGTACCCTTAAACGACGAACTTGTATGCGTAGATTTTTGTACAAGAGATGATGTAAAGGAAGCCCGAGAGGTGTGTCAGGATCGTGCCAAATGGAAGTCCGTACTCTCTAAGTAAATGTTTGATATATTATGAATTCAAAAATGGTACGTATGACTGTGTTAGTGTCTAAATGTACGGAAGCGAAAATCGCTTGAAGCGGAAGAAACATGAGAGTAAAATCACTAATGCTGTAGAAATGTGATCAATAAGAAATATGTTAGTAGTGACTTTAAATAATAGGGGGAAGTTGAGCGATAATTGAAATGTAGTTTGCAAGTAGAGATAGTGACGAGAATTAAGAAAAGAAAACTTCGGTGGTTCTAAAAGGTAGTTTGACTAGTAGAAAGTGGCTAAATATGAGTACCCTTAACCAACGAGTATGTTAAGATCGTGCAAAGTAAAAGTTCGTAGTTTCCGCCTACACCTCGGAGTAACAGATGTATAGTTTATATAACAGATGTATATTTATTACATATGTCGTTACAGAATTCCAGACGAATCGTTTGCTTCTTGGTACCGATTTTCTTTTGTTTTTGTTGTTGAAGATGTTAAAGATGTTCACAGACTGCATTTCCGAAGATTTTATTCAATATGAATTAAAATACTAACTTATCCCTAAGCAGTCCACTGGTAGGTAGCGGGAGCAGCTGTAATAAGCTTTGCACATTAGTTGCAGCTACCCGTCACCATTCACGAATTTTAGAAACTTGTATATGATTTACAACACTCGCTATAAAATTTTCGTAAAGTAACATAATCATAAAACTCACAACTTCATTAGAAAACCGAAGAAGAAGATAGATATGTCTCCAGAACAGGATTCAAGAGCGACTACTGACGATTATGAAGCGGATCAAAACATGTCTTCATACGCGGATAACTCAAGGTAATCCGTAAAATTTTTTATTTTTAAAATTTATTGGAATAACAATTTTAAATGTTTTAATTCCTTCAGTGTATGTAGCACGGATGAGATGAATCTACAAAGACTTGCCGCATTTCCATTTATATCTACACCAAGTGGAAACCTAAAAGTGCAATCAAATCAGGTAGAATTAATTGCATTCATAATATTTTGTAATAAAGTGTTTTCCATTAATGGGTATTGTAGTAATTTTTGTTAACTCTTATTACAGGTTGTTTTTCAATCTTCAACTGTTGGTGTGCTTTTAGCAGATCCAACTCAAGCTAAGGTTAAAGTAAAATTTGAGGGAAAAGCGGCTGGAGAACCCGAGAATAGAATAGAAAGTCATTTTGTTAGTAAATAATCTCAGCTAACAACTACTTTCGTTCATCCTACTATATTTATGAACATCGTTTTCGCAGATACACGAAAAAAATGTAGAATCACAAGTAAAATTTACGCCAAAGGAACCGATGAATTCGAGATTAAAATCCCTTAACGATCACCATACAAAATCTAAAATACAGACAGTAAGAGAAGAACAAGGCAAAGACTTAGGCAGTTTGGGATATGCACTTGCAGAACCTATTGATTGGATGCGCGTCCAGTTGCCAAAAAAACTGGACCTTTTCCAAGAATTTTATCGTAGGATAATAAACTACATGTAAGGTGTATTAAATATTTTGTTACTAAGTTACCAATTTCTGTGTTGAATGTATAATATGTCCGCAGCTTAAGTTTAATATTTGCCAAGCAGAATGCCACGTGTAGGAGTAATCTTTCTCTAGGTATCCGTTTAAAAAGTAGTTAACTTGTGAGGAATGATATCCCTGTCTAAATTCCAAAAATTAGATGAATATAAATAAGGAAAACTAAGTTTCATTCTATTTAATAAATATAAATACTTTGTAAGGAACAATAAGTATTAGGTAAGTAATAACGCTAGATTTGCGTTCACTGACTAGTGCCCATAATTGGGTGCTACCTCCTGCATAATAATTGAAAATTAAATAAAGAATTACTTGCGTTTAAAGATATTAATTATTACATATCACACCAAAATTTCAATGCAAATTGAAATGAATTCTGTGTATTTTAATTTTTGATGCAACTTATTACTTATTTTAAAATAAACGTTACCCCTACACTAGTATTTTCTCCTGTATCGTGGAGGCAGTTTACAAACATAAATTGTACAAGGACAAACATCCAGACCCGGAAGAATTATTTGTAGGCCATACAAATACTTGTTCCGTGCGGGATTCGAACCCGCGACCCCCAGCGCAGCCACTAATTGCTAAGCCACTACGCCACGGAGTCGTCTTACTCATATGGGAAGCGTATGTTTAACAGTGGAGTTTTAGTTGGCTATAATGAATGAGCGAATGGTTTTAATTTTATTATTATTATATAAGCTAAAGTGGTAAGAGGTCCATATAAGCTCAAATAATCGACAAGCTATGGCGAAGAAAGGTTCTCAAATGGAAGCCTTCTACTCATAAACGAAATGTATGGCGGAACCCCACTAGATGGAGTGACGATCTGGTACGACGTTCAGCAAGTCGATGGAGGCAGGTGACCCAGAACTGTGCCTGTAACTGTGAAAATCAGTAAAAATAACTAGAATACCTTATTTACAGCAACACTGATACGATAGTGCATATTGGTGATGAAGAATTTCACTGTCATCAAATAGTATTACAAATTTACTCAGCATTTTTCGACATGAACAATCATCGTGAAATAGAGCTACCAATCGTAAGCCTTGTTATATTTATTATTGGAAACATTTATTATCCTTTGACCTTCAAATATATTAAGGAATTTATATTTATTCGTTCGGTTGTTTGCCTTAATGTTTATCTAAGCGTTGACAAACCTTAAATACACATTGATAATAATATATCAAACAGCTTGCCTTAGTCGAAACCAACCCCACGTGGTTGTTTACTGGCAAATTGTTATAAATATCAATATATAACGCTTCTAAGAATATAGGACGAAACTACAGAAACAAAATATTTTATATATGTTGAGTTTTGAAATCCAGGCCATGACTCAGCAATTATATTGAACCGCATGGTCTCTAGCAATATACTTGTGTTAAACCAGTTCAGTTACGACTAACTAGTTGGGCTAGTGTAGTGAGCACAACATCTGATCATGTAGTCCCGAGTCCAGTAAAAAATCAGTCAATGGTTTTTCTGTGAAGAAATTCTCTGTAACAGTTCGAAGGAAGTTGGCGGTGTTTTCAGCGCCTGATGACTCTCTGGTCGTGTCAAATTGCCGTCTCATCGAACTACGAGAGTGAGAAAATAGCCACATAATCGTGCAATTTAATTGAAATTTGGCCTGGAGGTCAATATTATTATAAAACTAGTCGAAGAGAAATACACTAACAGTCTTTAGTGTCCACTGCTGGTCAAGACCTTTGCAACGGCAGTTGCGTACATAGCTGGGACACAATTGCATAGAGTCGAGCATCTCTAACCTAGTCTGTGCACGTTAGGCTTAAGGTTTCAGGGTGGATTGCTTGTGACTAACAGGCCAGTTGACAGAAACTTAACTGCCACTCAGAAGTGTGCAGTTACGTTCAGCACTTGAAGAAACTACTCCCCTTTAGGAGTGTACTAGTATCAACTGCCGTGTGGTGGAGCCATCAGAGAATCCATCTTCCCTTTGCTTCTCGTTAGTGTCGTAAGAGGCGACTTTAGGAAAGGCCAAAAAACTTATGAATTCCGATAAGTGGCTGAATAATCATCTTTTTACGCTAAAGGGAAAATACTTAAACCAGCGCAAACTGCAGCGTCTAAGATGTGAGGTGTCTGATGTGATCGTCACAAACTCTCCCCACAACGGAGCGGCGCAGTTCGAGCAATGGACTTTCACAGGCTAATAAGGCAAAATAAATTACTAAATTAAAAAATGATTTTTAAGCGTTTTTTATTTTTCTAGTCAAAGAGATTCAAAGGTTTATAGAGCGGCCATTGGAAACAATGTAACACAAACACTTTGATGTCGCACGTCAGCAACGTTATCTAGCTTTAAATAGGCTAAACATGTTTTTTTATAGTAAAAGGGTGACAAGCGAGCACACAGTCCACCTGATGGTAAGTGGTTGCTGTGGCCCATAGACATCTACATCTATCTTCGTTTGCGAATCAAAATAAAGATGCGTTGTCAGCTTTGAGAACTACGATGGAATGCCTCTTTTCCAGTATAAAAGGTCTCCGGTTCTCTACACATGTATTAAAATAATTAGAACAAACTTCAGAGCATTCGGTATATTTTTTTCGGAAATTCTTTTTTTTAGGCAAAGATCCACTACCTCTCGTGGTCTCCTATCAGACAAGACTAAAAGACTAACTTATAACATTACGATTTTAACCGCTTTATTTGGTCTTTTGCTCGTTAATATTTTAATTGTCTTTGTTTTTAGTCAAATGTTTCACCTGAAGCTTTCCAAACTATATATGAATGGATGATTTTTAGTGGTCCTGAAAGCAACAAAGTCCTTAAAAGAGAAAATATTTTGGACTTGTTTTGTGCTGCACAATATCTTGCCATTAAAGGTGAAATTGAAATTTATAAAATTTGTTTAATATTTTATGACAGTAATAATGTATATGTTTAATTTTCCTGCAAATAGATTTGGAAGATCAATGTTGGTCATTCATAGTACATGAAAATCTTTTTACTGAAGACACAGCTTTTGCACTTTACAGAGAAGCTAGATCAAGAGGAATGACACCAGTGATGGATTTAATGGTCCGCATGATTTTGTTAAATTGAATATCAAATATTAATTAACTTTTATTAACAATGCTAAATAAAATTCGTTAAAGGTTCCCCGCGTTATGAGGTTTTTCTTACCTTTAGTTGCTTCAAGAGATTTTCTTGAGTTGGAACCGGACGAGGTCATGACATTTTTGAAGTCTAATTACATATGCGTCACAAGGTAAAGCTTCATAAATACGTTACAGACTAAACACTTTTTTGGCTAAATTATAAGAAATCATGTATAACCTCAGTTTCTTAAAATAACGTTAAACGAAAAGACTTTGTGCTTTAATCACATACTAAACACTAAAGAACTTTTCACTACCATTGAACATGTATACTAAGTTCTTTATTAAGGTATAAATTTAACGCCTGATAAAAAGCGATCTTACAGTCTTAAATACAGATTCGCAGTACGTAATGATTTCAACAATAACGCCGTTGCTTACTTCGCTCTTTTTATTATCACGACATTGAATTTTATGTAGTGGTAGAAATTTACCGTAGTGGTACAGCCACGCTGCAGCTGTATTACGCTTGTGCTACGAATGAGTCGGCTCGATCGGGGCAGGACAACTCTCTCACAGAATACCAGCCTAAATAGCAACTTAATGCTGCTGTGTTACGTATGGTGCGTGTAGAGAACTGGAGACAAGTTTGACTGGAATCGAGGCATTCCATCTTAGTCCTCAGGGATGACAATACATCTGCATTTTGAATCTTGGTCAAGGTTAAATGTGGATGTCTATGAGACACAGCATCCACTTACCATCAGGTGGACTGTGTGCTCGTTTGTCACCCTTATTCTATAAAAAAAATTGAGAGTGCAAAATTTTAAATTTTTTATGACTATGTTATTAAAATTGTAGTGCACTTAATTCATTTTTATAATTTCGAAATAACTGCCTTCTTTTAAGCACATAATAAACATTATATATTTTCAAGCTATTATGACCGAATAACCATTTTTAAAATTTTACTTCGTATGACGTCAGTCTATGTTAGGGTTGGCACCCGTACTATAATATATAGTATGGTACTATATTTTAGTCAATTGTATTATATATTATAGAAAAATAATATGGTACCAAAAATACTATATTTTTATTCCTAATTCAATAGTGGCTCTTTTTTTATATTACTGTGATTGTAAGTCTGGAACAAGTAAGTTTTCCGCAGAGATAACAACACAGCTTGCTTAGTGTGCCTTTAATTGAAAAATCACATATAATGCAAATATTGACGTACACATACACTTTTATGTAATGAGTTGTATAAATAAGTACTTTCTTGTAATATCATTATACAAATTCACTAGTAGATTTATTGGAACTGGATTTATCAGAAAGAAAGTTAAAAGGTAAAGAATAATAGAAAAGTAAAAAGGTATGAAATTCTTCGAATAATACAGAGATAATTTATTCCATCATGAGTGTAAAATGGAAAGATGAAAGAAATAGAGTATGTATTAATCTAATCAAAAATAAATTGTTAATATATTTTAATATGGACCTAATTTGCTCAGAATCCTATAATTATTTTGAAGGTAAATAAATCGTTGATGGCCAAAGCGAAGAGCAATCACAAATTTATATGGGAAAATACATAAAGATTAAAAATAGATATGTACGTTTTTCTGAATTTGTTAAAATACCATACTTTTGTATTTTTTTGTGAAAAATACTATATTTGTTCAAAAAAGAGGTGACAACCCTAGTCTATGTGCTCGTTCAAGTTCTATGAAGTCGCGACTTCGTTGTTTCCACGTTATTTCTTAATACAATAACTGATTAAATAACGCTCGCTAATCAGCTTGTGCTAATCAAATTCAAATTCAATGAAAAAATCAAATTGAGATGGTCCTTATAATAGTTGTACGATTAGTCCAAAAAAAAGTATTTTAAATGTTTATGACATCCTGTCTGATAAGTAAGGATATCAGCTATTTGATAAATATTAATATAAATAAAAAGAACATAAAATTATATATTGGTTTAACATGAAAACATGAAAAATAACCCTTTCTGAAAGAAGAGCAAGCTGTAACTTCACTTTTTACTTTTAGCGAAATATAAAGACATAGAATAAAAGTCAGGTCTCATTATTTATACTTTTATAAGTTTTATCAGTTCCATAAGCCGACAAGTCAAAAGTTAAGTCTCTGTATCAAGTTTTGTATAGGTTTTGTTCAGTACTTACATAGCATGTAAAAAAAATTGTAACTATACTAACATATATGGAACTGAGTCCGAAAAAAATGATTAATAATTTTTTTTTTATTACAATTTAGTTTAAAATTTTAGTGAAATAGAAGTCCTAATGGCTGGCGTGAGATGGTTGTATGGCAATTGGCCAGCACGTCGTCGGTTAGTCGTGGACATAATGCGATGCATCCGCTTCGGTCTCATCTCCCCCTGGCAGTTGGTCGACATCAAACGGAATCCTGACAACGCTGAAATACTCGAGATTGTCAACGATCCTGAAGTACAGCAAATGGTGGACGATGGACTTGCGTGGGTATTTGCTATAGAAAAAATATTCAATTACTACAAATTATATTGTGTAATGGTATTGTAAGAATATATACAGTGTGTCCGGTTACCGGTGTCGGAGATTTTAATGCTATAAAATATAATCAATTTCATCGACAAATCATGTCTCAAATCTCATTTAGACCTAGCTGTATTTAAATGGCAGCCATTTAAATTTTTCAGTGTCACCACCTCGACCCCGCGCATTAAAATTACAATATTCACCGATGTTGAAGTCCTACATTCTTAAAAGATATCTCATTGCATAGATAAAGATACGCGTAATAAAATAAAAGCAAACTTTTAACTGCAAAATTGTATTTAGATCCTAAAAAGACTTAGAAAAGAAAAAAATGTAAAAAAAAAATCGGTTATTTTTTCACATTTTCGACTTTAATGAAAAAAGTAAGTCATTTACCTAATGATTTTTTACATTAATCAGATAGATCAGAACATATCCTAACCAAAAACATAAAAATCTAAATTGTAACCAAAAAAAAATCAGTATTATAACTGTTTGAATATGACCTTTGAAAAATTTGTCGCCCTGGTTGCAGACAGACAAAGTGATTTTTTTAACATTTTTTTTCTTTCTAAGTCTTTTTAGGATCTAAATACAATTTTGCAGTTAAAAGTTTGCTTTTATTTTATTACGCGTTTTTTTATCTATCCAATGAGACATCTTTTAAGAATGTAGGACTTCTACATCGGTGAATATTGTAATTTTAATGCGCGCGGTCGAGGTGGTGACACTGAAAAATTTTAATGGCTGCCATTTAAATACAGCTAGGTCTAAATGAGATTTGAGACATGATTTGTTGATGAAATTGATTATATTTTATAGCGTTAAAAGCTCCGACACCGGTAACCGGACACACTGTATACATATCAGCCCGTGGGTGTCGTAAGAGGCGACAGATTGAAACAAATCAGAAAATGGGCAGCAGTGTCTTTCTACTAACGACTAAAAAAACTGCGATTGCCAACCCTGGTGAATATCTCCCCTGTGAGGCAATCTATACAAGAGGCCTATGTCCAGCAGTGAACTTTAATAGGCTGTACCAGAAACGGTAACGGCAATTACTATAAAACTGTTTTATTTCGACCCTTTTTACATTATTCTTCTTCACCACCCCGTGCACTTCCCACTGCTTAACATGGACTTCCCCCGTTATAAGGATTTGCCTTAATAGTTACGCTTGGCAGGATTGATTTTCGCAGTACCAGCCTCTCACCATTGGCATTACTGGTATATTAAAAGCTGCAGGCAGCCAAGATATGCTACCTTTCAAGATTTTGGTCATAGTAACCACCATAGAATACTATAATACATACAGAACGGGGGAGTAGGCGGAGCCCGTGTAGCCACTAACATGTCACTTACATGTCAATTCACACCTATAAATGTCAACACAATCAATCGTTTACAATTTTCGTGTCAAGCGTCGCTGCATGAAAATTCAAAAACATTAATTAAAAGTCTAAAATGTGTTTGTATTAGTGATAACTGATAATACGACGTAATTGCCTGCATGTGTGCTCCCGGCGACGCCGATCTTCGTACAAAATAAGGTTGACAGCCATTCTATTGTGTATTATAGTATTCTATAGTAACCATGCTGATCAGGCACTATGGTAAGCGTAGGGTTGATACCCTCCCATTGACAATACCCTTTACCAGCCTGCGGAATTTCGACTGGGCATCTTTGTACATTTGCACTTGTTGGTCTTCAGAGCCTCTGTATTTAATTAGTAAGATATTAGAAAAAAGAGGACATACCTTACTCCAGCATGAAAAAAAAAACATTCGTCACTTTGAAACCTTTTTTCAACAATGGCCTTAAAAACTTTTTGTTAAAATATGTAAGCTACCCTGAGTTTTCTTGATGTATTTCTATACTTAACGTATTTGATAAGCGGGTTTAATACAAAGGTATTTCTCTAGTGTTTCTAGCAAAAAAAAACTCGAATGGGAAGTAATTCGAACATGTTTGCCTTGAATTGGGTGATTATTTCTGGGCCAAATGGTTTATATAATATAACAAAATGAAGAGAGGCTTAGAATGTGGATGAAAACAGTATTAAATAGTGAACAGATATAAAAAAGATCAGAATAGATAGAAATTAGTCCTGCGGTGGGACATATGAAGCTATATATAATAATATAAATAATCAAACTATGACTTTTACAGATATGTTATTATAAAATATTGGTATGGCAACAACTCTAAAAATTATTACCATTGGATAGATGTTCTTGGACTTACGGAGCCTGCAGAGAGGAATTGGATTGGCGAAGAAAAGGTGCTGAATAAATTTATACTAGTTTACAATTATGTTCTAGTTTAAATTAAATGTGGAGAAATAAACAACTTGGGAATATTTTCTATTTCATATTTTCTAATAATTGATTCAAATATTTATAAACGATTCACATAGTAAAAAATTTTTTGCTATAATTTACAAGGAAAATTTGTTAAACCACGTCACGGTCTAGTGGAAACATTCTGTACATATCAAAAGAGCATATCGTTTCACTTACACAGAATTCATTGTTTACATTACAGAATCATGTGACGTACAAAGATTTCCTAAATTATCTTGAACATTTCATGGTTCCAAAAGACCAGATGTATCAACAAATGTCGTTGATGCAACCACCGCGGCGCAACGATGACTTACCCGGTATTTAAACGATATCTAGCTCAATTTTTATAGCGTCATTGACCTCATGTAAATTGTTAGGACTTAGTTGATTTACAAAAATAGTTATCTATAGCTAAACGTCTGAAAATCGGATGCACGAGACATTTAAATTAGTATATACAATATGTAACGTAATTAACGCACACCCTCGTTAGTCGGATATTATGTTATAATCATAATATACACTGAATTATTTTTTAGTATAAACATTTTTATTAGTCACTTTTATCAATTTAGTTATACTAATTCCGGAAGAATGTTGTGGTCACAGTACAAATCCACGAACGCAAAGACTTTAACGTGCTTGAAATAAAGTTCATTTTTCTTTATTTTTATTGAATAACAGAATTAGTAATAATACAAATAAAACTGCACTCTTAAAAGTCTTATTGCCTTAAGTTACGGTCCATTTCAGTTTGTTTTGACTGTACAGATTAAGTGTGACTGTAATTTACGTAGTTTTAATTATTTTTGGGATAAAAAATTACCTATATTAAAAATGATAGGAATCGATTCAGTAAACGATTCTGAACAAAGTACTTTCTCAAAGTGCGTTAATTATGTTACATGTTGTATATATTTAAATCTCTTTGTCGGATGAAAATAATATACCTTCAATAATTACACAATTATTTCTTTAGATATAAACCATTTTTATTAGTCACTTTATAATTTAGTAGATGGATAACTTTCATCTGATAATTAAAAATTCAGCCCTTAATATTATATTTAAAAGGTTTACATGAATGGATTCTAGTTGTATGTTACCCGTCATAGACTAAAAGTTGTTTCGCTTATAAATAATAGTAGTTTCAACAAGATAATGAACCAAGAAGACCTTAAAATCCTAAAGTGGGACATAAGGTAGTTATATTTTAAGTAAGTTTGCGGCATTGTAGAGTCCCACAAAAGCTACAGTTGTACCTTGAAACTTACGCTGATATTATTTAATATACTTTGTTTCGTATTGTTGATAAACTGCTTTATCAAAAATACGTCAAATAAGTGATAAAGGGGAACAAACCGGGAGATGGGCAGCAACGTCTTCCTAGTAACATGTAACAAAAAAATAATAAACTGTGACTGCCAAGTCACTTGTTGAGCGTGGCAAAGTAAAGTAAAGTTACAGCCTATATAGTCCCACTGCTGGGCTCCTCCTCATTTTGAGAGGGTTTTGCGCTTTTTGTTCGTGGCACGATGGTAAATATCCTCCGTACGAGGCAATCACTGAGTGAAGCTATGTTTAGCAGACGCTGTAACGGTATCGGTAAAACTTATACATTCGTTCGATTATGAAACGTCCAAAATTCTTTCTAAAATATTAAATGGCCTTTAAGTTAGTAATGTTAAATAATATTCAAGTTCGTGTAGTACATTGTATCTCATAATCAGGTACTCTGCGAGGGATGGAAGATAAAATGGAAATGAGGCGGCCGAAGATGGATTTTCCTTTGCCTACGACATTAAAGGGACTTGGTGGAGATAAAGATAAATCGTTTCCGACGATGAGTGAATTTTTCGAAAACAGAAGAAAGGTTAATATGATAATAATATGTAAAATTATATAAGTATTTCTCTTTTATGTCTATACGAAAAGCTAAATACTACGTACTTAGTAACCTCTCGTAAGTTCTTATTTAATGCCATGGAATCGATAATTAACCTATAAAGAAATGTTAAAAGTTTTGTTTCGTCCTCAAGTATTAGTAAATGAGTATATTATAGTTTCAAGGTTTGAAGCAATTAAATGGAAATGAAATAAATACTCATTGTCGACATAAGAAATTGTAATTTCGTTTGTCTAACGTCAACATATTATTTAATATTATATAATAAGACCATTTCAAAATGACCTCAATTCTTCTCTCTCCATGCTTTAAAGTAGGCATAGCTGTCTTTGATCGATTAATCGAAGAATCGATCTCTCGTGCCGAAAAGATCGATTTCTAAATCGATATATAGTACTGAATCGATCCAGTAAATCGATATTTCACCATAGAAAATCGATATTTCACCATCAAAATCGAATCTTTTTCTGTTTTTGTAAGAACTATCAAATTATTTAAAATAATTTGAATACCCAAACTCGTAAAGAATGACAGCTTTAATACTCAAAAACTTGCAAAACAGCTACGTGCGTACTCGTTCCTTTCGTCTCTTCTTAATTGATTAAAGTAATACAAATAAATCACGTTTGTAATCATAACTTTGCTGTATCTTTTGATATTGTAAATATAAACTCTGGAAGCAAATCGATAAAAGATCGATTTTTGAAAAATCGATCTTCTAGACCGCGACTTATTTGTTACTCGATTCATCAGATTTCGATTCGAATCGATTTAAAAATTGATCTTTTTCGGGTAGAATTGCCTATTTTAAAGGCATTAGCAAAGCAGTAGATTAAAGAAAGGAGGAAAAAAAAGGTACTAATTAATAATGCATCATTTTTGTCACTTAAATGGACCAATAACGATAACTTTCAGTAACAATTTAAGAGTGAATTGCTAAGTTCTGGTATAGATAGATACGTAATTTCACATATTAGGTCTATACAAAGACACAAATAAAATCAGAGCTTAAAACAGCTTTTTTGCTCTGATTTTATTTTGACGACTCGGCAGCGCAACTAAATGCGTTTAGCTGCGACGCGACGATGTGCGTCACGGATTCCAATTTCGCACGCAACGAGTATTAAATTTATGTGGCCTGCAGATAATAAAGTCAAATACAAAACTGTTGCAAAGTTGGTGCTGATGGATTTATGATCTAGTTTTTATCCATGTATACTAACTATACATACCATGTTTAAACATTTAATTAAACAAAATCTCTATAAAAAGGGTTATTATAATATAAATGAATAAGTACATGGTTGATAATAACTCCTGTGAATGAGGTGGTCGCTTCCAAGCTGTTACTAAAATAAATTTTCTAAATATTTTGTGACCATTCACATTGTAAAATTTATTTTTAAAAAAAAGTCCCGCTGGGTTTCTTGCTGGTTCTTCCCAGGACAGAGGTATTTTTCGAACCAGTGGTAAAGTAAAAAATGACTTTCAATAAGAATTACATGTAATCAATATTCAAAATAAAAAAAATTATCTATTCTATTCTAACAAAATTGCTTTCTGTTAGCAATTGTAAACTGTTTCATATACCTTTAACAATCTGTATATATAAAAATTAATTGCTGTCCGTTAGTCTCGCTAAAACTCGACACTGGTTCGACCATAGAATACTATAAAGATATACAACTATAAAGATAATACAACGTAATTGCTTGTATGTGTGCTCCCGGCGACGCCTATCGTCGTACAAAATAAGGTTGACAGTCATTATATTGTGTATTCTATGATATTGAAGTAAATATTTTAGTCGATTTTCGTAGAGTGTAGTGTAGTTAGTTTTTTTAAGTAAATTTTTAGAAGTGTTCCTAATTATTGCCAAGGCTTGCTTACATTTTTTTCCTTTATATATTAGTTATAGTATACGACTTTGTGTCTTTGTATCTGTCCTCCTCCTTGTTTTGGTTTTATAGGGCGGCAAAGATAAGGTGACCATATTACCCTCACGTACCTTATAACGCCTCCACGATATGGAACTAACAAATTGAGTTTTTTTTTAAATGGTTCATTTCTTTAGTTCATTAATTCAATTATTTAATTGTTCATTAATAAAATTGCTAATACTACACTAAATCGATGTATTATTTTTTAAATTTTATCTTTGCGTGCTTTAACAGGTTAAAGAAACCTATCGATCTAGGTCACCTACACGATCACCGCCTCTTGGCTCCGAGGGCCCGACTCCGGCACCGCAACAACTTACCCCTCAAACATCCAGAAGAAGTCCGGAAACTGAGCGAAAACCGCAGAAACAAACGGACACAAATGTACTAAAGCATTTTTAATTACCTTACAATGTTTACTCCTATTGTATTATTTTGTCTGTATTGTCATACACAGTTATTTTTATTTTAAGGGATAATATGATTCTTACAATTCAAATCAAGTTTTATTATTTTAATATTTTTATAAGTAGTGGAAGAAACCTTTAAAGTAAACACTGTCCTGTGAAAACAATCTATTTCAAAGCAATTTTATCCTAAATCACTTGTAACGGCATAAGTAAACACTTCGTTTTATTCTTCTTAAGGTCAAGCCATTCCTTTTAGTGTTTTATTGTTATAATCAAGTTCTTTTTTATTTTTATTTTATTTTATTCTTAAACCAGTAAAAAATTATATTTTTATGTATTTTAGGAGCAGCGAACATTTTTATTACATCAACAAAATACTAAACAAACGCAGCCAATACACTTATGTACACTTCAAACTAGCAATGTAATTATTTATTTTTATTTGTTTTTAATTTAGAAAAGTTTTTTTTATTTATTGCTGTAACGATTATGTGTCTTTGGTAAGTCGAAGTATGTTTGTATTGTAGACGCCGCAACATTCACAAATGTACGAACCACCTGAAAAGGACTCTTCAGACAACTTTAACACAACCAAAAGTGGCAGTAGCAGTGAAACTGCCGAAACCAGTTACACTGAAAAGGTACATTTTAAAGTTGCTCAGTACGTATGTCCTAATGCATCATAATATCTTAAATATCTTATCAAGTTTTTGAATGAAATGGAGTTGGGAGTGTACTTTTTCTAGGGCCTAGTATTAACCTTAGAGCTTAGAACCTAGGGCGCCTAAGAGTACGTCTGAGTAAGGTACCAGGCAAACTATTTACCCGTTCAGCCACCCAGCAGCACTCACTGCTGTGCTTTGGTTTAAGGGTAAGAAAGCCAGTATAATTGCAGTCTTAAATGTGTTCTAATACTCCTCTAACTTACCACTCTCCTGTGACGCGGTGAACCCGAAGTCCTCTGGTTAATCTTTCGCCAGTCGTCATCAATGGCTACTAGAAACATTTTATATTAAAATGGTAATCACAAACTCAAGTTATAAAAAAATTTGTGCATTCTTTTTTTACAACAAAAAACAATTTAAATAATTTTTATATTTAGTTATTTTGTAGTAAACACACCCCAATTCTCAATTTTTCCAATTCGTTCCTCCATTCTACATGACCAAGCTATTGGAGCCGGTATGCTTGTGCTTCAAAAACCACTTGACCATGTAGTGACAGTGTATGAATGTTCACTGCCCCATATCGTCCCGTGGATGTCGTAAGTGGCTACAGAAAACAACGTCTTCCTGACAAAAACTAAAAATTTAAAAATCTGCGCTTGCCTATCCGCCTGGCAAGTGTGGCATATATAGCAAGTATCCTTCCTATAAAGCAATCTATGGGGATGCATATGTTTAGCGGTATAGTAATCTGTAAATAGAGATAAAGCTTTTATGTAACATAGACTGGAGTAGTTTATTTCATCAGCCCCAAAAGTTCACTGGACATTGACCTCTCCCGCTGCAGGGAAGATTTTCCTTAATCGTAACGCCTTGTAGGCGAAATGACGATCCTTGTGCGTCTCGGACCTGAGTCTCTGATCAAAGTATTATACCTCTGATATAAACGAGATGGTTAAGATATATTAAATATTAAATCAAATCAATACAGAAAACGCAAAGTAATAGCTCACGTTCGTCCCACTCCCTAATTTCATGAGAGGGATATGAAGCAGAAAAGATTTCGACGCGCAATCTTAGTAGGAATTGGTAGACTTCATATAGACCTCGAATTATTTTTATTTTTCAGCCTTTAGTCCATGATAAAATAATTTCAATAGGATCAACGGGACAAGAATTCGTTTTACAGCGTGAAATTTGTGGCTTTTTACTTACTGTGCATACAACCTTGTGGAGGTAAAAACAGGTTATATTGGACTCGCACCAACTAAAATTCTCACCATTTTATGTTGGCAGGACAATGAAACGCTTTTACAAATATCCGCAGCCTCACCAACAATGGTTACTATTCCTCGAGAGAAGACAACTCCCCCCCTTGTATCTACTCAGGTAAGACCGAAACACCGAGTGCACTTTCTTACATGGTCCTGAATTTTATCTACGCAACAGCCTTTCTCTCAACTCTACCAGCCCTTAAGCAAGCGCGACTGTAATAATTAATAAATCGTTCAGATGCTTACATAAAAAGTAAAGTGATGTTCAGCCTATATACGTCCCACTGCTGGGCACAGGCCTCCTCTCATTTCTGAGAGGGTTTTAGGGCAAGGAAATGTCCGCCGCGCTGCCCCAATGCGTGTTGGCGAACTTCACATGTCTTCGAAATAATTTTTTCTCTTATTCCTCAGACATGCAGGTTTCCTCACGATGTTTTCGTTTATCGCTAAGCACGTGGTAAATCAACACTTAAAATTGCAATTAACAATTTTATTGGTGCCGGCTGGGATCGAACCTGGGTTACTCGCGTTCTGTAATATTTACAGCGAGCGTTAACCATCTGAGCTACCACGGCTTACATAAATTCAACAAAATCACTTATACAAGTTGTTATATGATTTTAACCAATTTTTTCCTCAGACTCAATATATGAGTAAAGCTACCGAAAAGAGACAGAATAGCGTAGCTGCTTGTTACTTAGCTGCTGCTACAGCTGCTTTAGCTGAATCTCGAAGGTTAGTTTTATTAATAAATTCTCTTCTGTTTAATTTAAATATTTATTTAAGATTTGTAAACGCACATAATAAATTAAAGTAACAGCCTACTTAATCAGGCCGTCCTTCATTATTAAGTAACATAATATATTCTTTCATTCATGATAATCATCATCATCATAATCATGACAGCCCTTCACAAATCTAATGCTGAAGATAGGCCTCCCCAAAGGAATGTCATAAAGCATGATTTTGAGCTACCTGCATCCATCGACTTCCTGCATATCTTACGTGGTCGTCTATCCATTATTTCATTCACTGTTTCATTACATTCCATCATACGTTCACTGCTGAATGTAGGTCTTTCCCATAATATATTCCCTTAATATTATTTCCCATAATATTTCCCATATATTGCCTCCACAATTTCTCCTTCAATATTGACTATTACTGCTGTTTTATGTTTTCATATATTAGTTTCTTAGATTATTGATAGGTCTAGTCTAAGATTGGGTCCTTACGTATAAAATTAGCGTTTTGTCGTACTGACCACTTTGATCTGAAATATCTCCTCCTTGGTTCAGAATTCCAAATTCAAATTTATAAATTCATTTAGCTGGTACATTTGAGTTTTGAAAACAGTCATTCATTTGTTTTTGCCTCATTATTTTTTCTTTGGCATCGCTTATTACCGCACAATGGAAAACATGAAATATCGGTATATTTACGAGTACGAGTTCTACCGTGGCACCAGTGCTGCAGAAACAGCTCAAAGAATTAATTATGTGTACGACGCTGGTGTCGCAAAAAAAAGCATGGTACGTTTTTGGTTTCAACGTTTTCGTTCTGGAAATTTTCTCCACTTGAAGCAAATCGGGAAAGTAAAAAAACTTAAACGATGGGGGGTACCTCATGAATTGAGTGAATCGAACTTGCAAACACGCGTCGACTGCTGTGTTACTTTGCTCAACCGACACGAAATGAAGAGATTTTAAATCGAAACATTACTTGTAATGAAAACTCGATACTGCACGATAATCGGAAGCGCTCGTCGCAATGGCTGAACCCAGACCCAGCCAAATCTTGCCCTAAACGAAAGTGGACCCAGAAAATGTTACTTGTTAGTGTTTGGTGGACTAGCGCTGGTGTCGTTCGCTACAGCTTTCTTAAATCTGGCCAAACGATTACGGCAGACATCTATTGTCAGCAACTGCAAACCACGAAGGAAGAACTAGCTGCTTAACAACCGAGATTGGTCAATCGCTCTTGGCCACTGCTGCTTCACGGCAACGCAAGACCACACACTGTACAACAAATTAGCATTTTTTCCGGAATTTGGACAATTTCTTACAAGAAAAAAAATTCAACTCCGATGCGGCAGTCCAAACCGCCTTAAAAGAGTTTATTGATTCTCACCCCCATGTTTTTTTAGGAAAGGGATCAATGAACTACCTATGGATATGGCAAAAGTGTATAGATAACAACGGTGCATACTTTGATTAATTAAATATATTTTACAAAAAAAATTGACTTTATATTCCTCCCGCACAAAACGCCAATTTTATATGTAAGGACCTATTATTACATTACTGCACCAACAGCTAGTTGCGCGCTGGTGAAGCGTGACTTCAGGTTCAAATAGCAGTTGATACTACAATCAGCATCATTATGAATATAGACTTAAGTAATTATAAGGTGATAGAACTCTGTTCTGCCAAGAAGTCCATGTGGGGCGGTATCAACTTCAGGCATATATCCGCCGCCGAGCACTAGAGCACTCAATGCGCTGTTTCAGATTGAAAACAAAGACAGGTAATGTTATTGCAGACTGTACGCTGCTTCATCTCAGTCCTCTGGAGTGACAACACACCTATTGACCACATTATCAATTTACCATCAGGTGAAGTGTCTGGTTTTTCGCTATTTAGAAAATAGAGACAATCTGCAAGGCGAGAAGAAAACGCCTACTATTCCGTTATTAAACTCTTAAACCGAACTTAGAAATAATGAATAATTATTTGGCAGGCAAGTTGAAAATTGTAGTAATGGGTGCATAGTATAGTACCTTAGACAAGTCTCTCCGTCATAGGCTTGTTTTGATGTTTTGGTATATTTTGGATGTTTGTTCCTACTTTTTCTATTGAAAGATATTGTTCTTTTCCCTCGTACCACTACCGGCTAGGCTGAACTCCTCCCATTTCTGGGAACCTATGCTCTAATCTTTCTCAGTAAGCACCACTTACTCGGATATGCAGGTTATCTCGTGATACTTTTCTTCACTACCGAGCACCTAAAAATAAGCATTTAAAATTCATCAGTTTTAAATGCAATCAGCATTTAAAATTGCAGTTTCGTTGGTCCCGGCAAGTATCGGACTCGAGTTGCTCGCGTGGTTTGAAGTAATAGCTAGCACCTAGTACTTGAGCTACCACGATTTATTTTACACTTACAATCATTTGTTCGCACAGGGAATCGCAAATATCTCCGACGTCAGGATCTAGACAAATCACCGTAACGAATTCACGATCAGATCAATCTCCTCGGACACCGGGCCCGCACTTACAAAATAACATCAGCAGCCCCCAGGTGTCGCTCTTCAATCAGTCTAAAGAGTCACTGGCGAAAGTAAACATGTGAGTTTAACATTTTTTTTTTTGCTTAACAAGTAGCTGTGTGAAATTTTACCCAAAAATTTATTTGCTTATTTTAGACAGCTTTCGACTTCAGAAAAAGCGATACTTCAGAGGGAGTCCCATTCAAATTTGAAAATAAAAACAACCTTAAGTGTGGCAAAAGAGTGGATAAAGTTCTCAGTGTAACTATTTAAGTTGATGTGGACGCCAAAAGCAGATTTTTCACGCTTTAAAACTGAATTTTTTTGGAATTAAAACTACGAATTCACATTTTTTTAAATGCATTATGAAAGTAAAAAATTTTTTTTTAGTGAATTATGGTGACCAAAACATGACACATTTTGGCTTGACAGAAAAAGATCGCAAAGTTTCCTCAAAATCTACGATTTTAGGTACGTCCACTAAGTGAAAAAGCAGTTTCCACCAGTAAATACGTCAGTTAATTATGGATTTATTTTTCAATAAAAGAGTATATATCATTTTAAAAAGAAATATCAAATAAATATTGTGCGATTAAATAACGCGCGGGCCGACCAAACAGTCCATATAAAGCGTGAAAAATCTGCTTTTGGCGCTCACTTCACCTTAAACGACATCTAAATTGTGATATTCCTTTCCTGAGTCCACTCAAAGTATAAAAAATAATAACGTTTATTAAAAAGTAAAAACCAACTCAAAGATTATCTTCGAACCGACTTCAGAATGTGAATTTATTTTATTACTCTCAGTTCTTAAAAGTTGGCTTTACTTTTTGATGTAAGTTAATTTTCCATCTTTCATCTTGCATTCAACGTAACGATCGTAGTTTCACGTCGTGGGACTGATAGGTTTTTCTAAAGTAAAATAAAAAGCAACATTTAAAATGAATTTATCCGTCAGGAATAAATTATCAACTTCAATCCTCGGACCTACTAATAAGAGTTACACTGTGGATGGATCACTGTTTAATTGGGACCGGGAAACAGTTCTCGTTTTTGGAGGAATAAACCCTCATGCTTCGTATGGAGTTGGGCGTAATACAGGAAAAGATATTTTTAGGTAGGTGCCAAAAACACCTTATGCTAAAGCTTTTAAATTTGTTTTTTTGTTTTTATTTTTTTTAATATTTCCCTAACCTATTATTCATGTGACAAGATTTGATCCACTGACCAATTCCTGGGATTACGTGGGTGACCTTCCGGAGCCAAGACACCATCATTCCGTGGCGTTCCTAAGAGGAAGGGTTTACCTTGTCGGTAAATATGTTTGATGATCATTTCTTTTGTATATAAATTGTGCTTTTTAGCTTAAAAGGATGTATGAAAAAGATAATCTTTCAGTTAAAGCAAATTGGAAATGGTTTTCTTGTGTGAAAGTAACTAAATAATTAAGTATAACGAAAGTATAAATGATAAAAGTCAGAACAACATTACAGACATTTATAATTTATAGTGTACAGACTGTGTATAGTCTGTACACTATAAATTATAAATACGTACAGTTGTTTATAACAAATGTCTGTACTACTGTATGATAGGTAGTTTAAAACGATAGAAGACTAACCTCCCTGTAACTAACTGTATTAAAAGCTTGCCAAACGTACGAGTTATTAAATAAATTAGAGTAAAAGTAGTCATTTTATTCAAGTAATAAAGTATTTATAGTTTGTAAAAGTTATTCTAAGAAAGAACGTTTTCTATAGGAGTTTTTACCATTATTCCTAACAATATTTTAGCTCATCCATCACCAGTAAAATCTACCAAACTACCGAAAGTTATGCGACCTTTCTATAGCGTATAGGGGATTTACCATAGTCGTCTCATACGACACCTATGGTATTAAACAGGGTGATGGATTTTCTTCCACCGCCATCACGCGACATATAGTTTTAAATAATTTATCGTACTTACCTTACCGTGTAGTGGCAGTGTATATCGTATATCGGCCCGTGGCTGTGGTAAAAGTCGACAGAGGGAAACAGAAACAGCAGATCGGCAGCAGCATCTTCCTAATGACAACACAAAAAAAAACTGAGTTTGCCAACTAGCTTGGCAAGCGTGGCAACTACTGCCAATATCCCGCCCATGAGGCAATCTGTAGATGAGGACAATGATATTATAAGTAAAAAGGTGTAGATAGGTTACCTACACAATATACGATCTTCAAAAACGGCACACTAACGCACACATAAATAACTAAATATTGCAATGGCACACTACATTACGATTAGACATCAAAGTAGGATGGTATGATTAAACTATCGCAAGCGTAAAAGAGACAAATGTAATTTGCGACGGTATAATTAATCAGATATGATATTGTTACGCGCTCCAGTCAACAATACACTAGCGCCATCTAGTGTCAGGAACGAGAGCGAGGGGAGCATTGAGAAAATGACATCACAAATCACTCAACCGACAGCGCCTAGTCGAAACTCGAACGCTCGGTACCTTGCGCGTGTTTACTTGAACATTCTGGATATTTCTTTGCTAATTTGAATATATAGGCGCTGCAAGATGCGATGGAGGTAGTGTTGATTTGGCGAAACAAGCGAAGCTTCGGAGCGGAATAAAGTGAATTAGTGTGTTTAATTATTAGTGTTTTTAACTTTAATTTGTGTAAAGTAAATTAAAGTGTTAATTTAGGTAATTTTATCGGCAATTTTTATTGTCACGAACCCTAAACTCGTAACAATTGGTGTCAGAAGTGGGATTAAATCATGCCGATTTTACCTAAGGAGGAAACGGAGGGTGTTCGTACCCGCAGTCAACGCCAGCATGAGACGGACCAGAGGAGATTTGGTGGTGCAACGCCGCAGACGTCGGAGGGCCAACTGCCAGCCACGGAGACTGCGGGCCCGTCAGTAGCTCCTACATCTGCAGCACCTGACTTAGGTGCCCTGATGGCGATGCTACAGGAGCAGCTGCAGGGTGACGAGAGGAACAGGCCCGTCTGTTGAAAGAGCAGCTGCAGAGCGGACAGGAGGAACAGGCCCGTCGCTTAGAAGAGCAGCTCAAACGCGATAGGGAAGAGCAGATGCTTCTCATGAAGGACCTTCACGCTACCTTCGGGAAAGAGATAAGAGAGGTGAAGGATAAGGTTGCTCAACATGATAACCGCCTGTTGGAAGCTGAGACCCAAATCAACCAAGTTAAGAAAACGCTGGACGAACTCAAACTTGGAGATGGAGCTACAGCTCCCGTAGTAGCTACAACACCTTCGCTACGTGGGTTCAAGGTGCCACCGTTCGACGGTACCTCTTCCTGGTCAGCCTACAAAATCCAGTTCGAGGCTGTTATGAAGGCGAACGGCTGGAATAAAAGTCAGGCCATGACTGCTCTCACACTAGGCCTGCGCGACCAGGCCTTAACAGTTCTGGAAGCTCTCGGTGAGGAAGTGACTTATGAGCAACTCCTTGAGGCATTGGAGGCGAGATATGGCGACGCTCACCTGGAACACGTCTTTCGTGCGCAGCTTAAAGATCGTGTGCAGCGCATCAACGAAAACCTGCAGCAGTGGGCTCTAGAGGTGGAGAAGCTGGTGCGAAAAGCTTACCGGTCTGTACCTGCGCTCATTGAAGGGAACCTGGTGCAGACATTCATCGACGGCATCCGCGACCTGGAAGTCAGAGCTGCTGTGAGGCTTGGGCACCACGAGACGCTTAAGGACGCCTTGGCCCATGCACTGGAGGTAGAAGCCGTGCGGCAGGATCATCGTTCCCATCGCGTCAGGGAGGTTGTAACCGCTACAGTTCGCGACCGCAACAAAGGATACAGCCCAAGGTGCTATGGCTGTGGGGAAAAAGGCCATCTTCGAATCAGCTGCCCTAAGCGAACCGTGGAAAGGAGAGTTGATCGATCTCGAGAGGGTAGTGCAGCTAACGACACTGCCTGGCGGCGACAGGATCATCGTTCACCTCACGCTAGGGAGGTTACAGCAGTTACGGTTCGCGACCACAATAAAAGATACATCCCTAGTTGCTATGGCTGTGGGGAAAGGGGCCATCTTCGGTCCAGCTACCCTGAGCACACCCTACGAAGGGAAGGTGAACGGTCTCAGAAAGGAAGTGCGGCTAACAGCACCGCCCAGCAGCAGCAGGAATACGACTTTACTATCAGACACTGCAGCGGGAAATCTCACGGCAACGCAGATGCATTGTCAAGAAGACCTTGTCCTGAAGATTGCAACCATTGTAGTAGGCAAGAGAGTAAGGAGGTGGTATCCGTGAGGATGCTCAGGACAGACCACCTCAGCAACGGGTGGAAGGACAACCTACGACATGCACAGCAGGAAGATCCGGACATCAAGCCGATTCTGGGATGGATGAAGGCCCGTGCTACCAAGCCTAAGTGGAGGGACGTCTCAGCGATGAGTTCAACCACGAAAAGCTACTGGGCCCAATGGGACAGCTTGCTGATTCAGGATGGAGTCCTGTGCCGTAAATGGGACAATGGTCGAAGAGACAGCTGTCGTTTGCAAATGGTTGTCCCTAAAGCTAAAGTGCCGAATGTTCTACAGTTGTGCCATAATGGTCGTTCAAGAGTCCATCTGGGAGTTAAACGAACTCTACTGAAGGTCCGAGAACAGTTTTACTGGGTCCATTATCGTGACGATGTCGAGGATTGGTGTCGTACATGTACAAGTTGTGCGGCCGAGCGGGGACCTCGGACACGTAGTAGAGGAGCACCGAAATTGTACAATGTTGGTGCACCACGGGATAGGACAGCCCTTGACATTGCGGAGCCGTTAAAGAAAGGCGCAAGAGGGACTCCTAAGATCGTCCATGTGAATCGCTTGGCGCGTTATTATGGGGCCGATAATGCTCGGGACGAGCATGTCTTAGGAGGGGGCAGTGTTACGCGCTCCAGTCAACGATACACTAGCGCCATCTAATGTCAGGAACGAGAGCGAGGGGAGCATTGAGAAAATGACATCACAAATCACTCAACCGACAGCGCCTAGTCGAAACTCGAACGCTCGTTACCTTGCGCGTGTTTACTTGAACATTCTGGATATTTCTTTGCTAATTTGAATATATAGGCGCTGCAAGATGCAATGGAGGTAGTGTTGATTTGGCGAAACAAGCGAAGCTTCGGAGCGAATAAAGTGAATTAGTGTGTTTAATTATTAGTGTTTTTAACTTTAATTTGTATAAAGTAAATTAAAGTGTTAATTTAGGTAATTTTATCGGCAATTTTTATTGTCACGAACCTCAAGCTCGTAACAATATTATACCGTACACCGTGATTTATGCCTAAAACGCGATTCACTAATGAGTTCACGTAGTAAAAGTAATAAAGTAGTAAAAATGCATTAAAAATAGGAAAATAAAAAAAAATATTGAATTTATTAAAAATTTATAATCAAATAAAGTGCTGTAATAATAAATTATTTACGAACGTATACTTCGTTACGCTACAAAACAAATAAATTGAAATTATTAATTAATAATGACATAGTTAATTTACCCTTCAATAAAACAAGAATTATATGTACACAATTTGAATTACTATACTCAGAAGAGACCTATCTGTTTTTTTATATTCTTTGATCAGAAACAATATCACTTCTCTTTCAAACTCACTCATTGGGGTATTTTTATCGCTCTTTATTTTTTACATTAGACATATTTATGGTAACGTATGTAAAATTCTCGGAACCATAATTTGGTGTATTTTTGAAGAACCTAAGTCTAGCTGATTAGAATTAAACTAACACTGGAAAAAAGAGAAATTTGTTTATTTACATAGCTATACGGTGGTACATGTTATAACAAACAACACTAAGATAATAGTTAGTTAGTTAGTAAAGTTGTAGTAAAATAATAGTAGTGTAGTATGACTATTAAACTACTACTACTAAAACCATAGATTATTATCATGTAGAGTAGATTATTATCACGTAGAGTCTACATGATAATAATCTATGGTTTTCATTTAGTTCTTAAATGAAAACCATAGATCCTAAGCTGGAATATTAAAATAGAATGTATAATTGTCGTCCCGACACTAGACATGCCTGTGTTGTGAGGGTCTGCTACGTATTTCTTTCACATAATATCTCTAATTAATATAATATATAGATCGGTATTGCTGGATATGCTTTAATTTTAGGAGGTGCTGATCCGCGTGATGATGATACACGTGGAAAGTCAGTCGTCGTGTCAACGGTCTGGAGTTACGAACCCGTGACTCGTTCATGGTATAGCGAGTCAGGTCTTGCTGTACCGAGAAAAAATTTCGGTCTTGTTGTACATCGAATGGCCTTGTATGCTATTGGTGGACAAGATAAAAAGGGAAGGTAAGCTACTTTAATCCGCATGAAATACATCATATAGAACACATCTTTTACATCCGTAATCGAAAACAGCATATGTGTGTCAAAGATTTTAGCGAAGTTCGATGCCAAGCAGCTGAGAAAGTATTTGGAATCGAATGGGATACTTCCTAGTTTACAATCGGGATTTAGACAATTGTATAGTACAACTACCGTACCGATTAAAGCAGCTGATGATATTCTGTCAGACCAAAATTGAGTAAAAGGTATAACATTGGTTCTACTAGACTTTATAGAACATTTGACTGCCTGAACGTGCCATTGTTTTTGTCAAAATTGAACTATTATGGTTTCGACGTGACGACTGTGAAATTTTTTGAGAGTTATTTTATATATCGCGCACAATTATGACCAAAGTGGATTGCAGCTAGTTTCCGTTATGAAAATGATGTTTTAAGTTTTTACATAATTTTCTAACGTCTAAACAGGCGAATAAGATTTGTTGAAGGAATAGCGCAGCCATGACTTTCAAAATGTGAATGTAGAGATGGAGATAGAGTAAACGCAAATTTTGATAAGATTTTGAATTTGAAGATTTCTTAGGTATATAGACTTTAATTAGTCTACGTCTAGGTATAACGAGTTTCTAAAATTGCGCTAACTGGCGTGAATTATTTAAAAAAATTGTCATTGCGTTTTTATACAAAGTTATAAAACTATATTTACATTTACATACGGTAGAAATTAATGCAATGAATTAATGCAGTGATTGTATGTCGTGCCACTAAATTGTGTCGTATGCTAAAGTTTAATTTAAACTGTTAAAAAATATCTGGGTCACGTTGGGATTTAAAAACCTCTAAATTTAACGTTTCGTAAATCTTACACGTATCGAAATAAAATATAGTAACTTTGTTAGCTTTGTCGGATGTAGATTGTTTTATTAGAATACGGAAACCATTGTTTACGCTTTTCTATTGGAGCTGTTGAAATAAATTTGATGTGATTCTCCACAAGCTTAATAAAATTAAATTTCAGGTGAATACAAACCCGGAAAAAAGAATTTCTTTAGTTTTCTTATTAGTCTTTAATCATTGTACATTGACCTTAAGAGTAGCGAAATATGTTCCTTGCAGCTTTGACGTGGTGTCGGACAGATAAGTATCGACAGCACCATATAAGCTCTCTTACAATCCGTTCCTTTTTTTCTGAAGTCGTACAACAAAAACGAATGGACAAAAAAAAATGGGTGCTTTAGCAACTGTCCAAAATTTTCTAATATGTTTTATACAATGAGCTACGAACATTTTGTACTATGTTATTTTTTGTCACCTTCGACAAATTTTAACTTCTCTATCAATGTTTAAATTGTTTTTAGAGTTCTTCGCTCCGTTGAAAGATTCGATCCCAAGGCGGGGTCATGGAGCGAGGTGCGCTCAATGAATGTCGCGCGCATGGCCATGGCGTCTGTGAAGTACCGGGACTATATCTGGGTAGCTGGCGGCATGACGGGCGAGAAGAAAAATCCCGTCTGCAAACTTGTCGAATGCTATAATTCCAAAACAAATGAGTTTGTTTCAATTTTATATATTCACTTACATATTATAAACTCTTGAGTAGTTTTAAAACTTAGAAACAGATTCAGCTTCAGCACTATTATCAGTAACAAATTATGAGAAAAATCTTTTTACGATAATAGTCGTTTGCAAAGAGGTCGAATCTGTTCTACTCTCCTCAGAGTCAAAGAAAAGAGTACGTATATAAATCAAGAGTCAGAGATTAGTATAGTACTTAAATCCATATTATGTCTGTTATTCCAAATGCGAGTTATATCAAAAAGAAACTGATAGAATTTTTTTAAATATTACGATAATTGGCTTTTGATACCTTATTAAGCCTAAAAATGTTTTACTTTTTATTAATGGTTACAAATGACAATAAGATGCAAATATTGTCAGGAAAATTATGAGAAGGTGATATTTAGCATGTTAGTTTAGTTTAAATATCTCATTATTTTTGTGCTGCCACAGCAAATATGCAACAGTAATAGAATTGTTAGGTATAATGCGAATATGACACTTAAGATATTTGATTATACGTCAAGAGATACTTTGTACCAAAAATGATACCACAACCAATTCACTTTTTCATTTCTTAAGAATTATATTACAGAAAACAAAAATGGAGAATTTGTTATCAGTAGATACATCAATTACATAGTATCGTTTATTCTATAAGCTACTTATATTTTATAGTGAAATCCTGACCGTAAAACTATGTGGTCAGCATGTAGGCTGAATTACTGAGAAAATTTCTTCGAAATCTTTGTTTTCAATCACATACAAAATCGCTTCATGAATTTTTGAGCTATTGCATAGCTTCTATCGCGGGCCTTGAGCGCGGGGACCGAATCCAGATTTTCCGTAACGAAAAAAACCTCACGCTCCCCACTCCGACGGGCACGGAGGTGTGGCGTTGAAAGCCGTGCATCGTCTAACGTCGTTTTAGTTCGGCAGACTTCGGCACTCGGCAGACTTCGGCACGGTGTTTGTGTGCGTGTACACTAGCTGCTAACTCAATGATAAAAATTCCTGAATAACCTACATGTATTGTAAGATATTAAAAATATTTTAAACAATATTAACTTCTCATTTATTCAATAAGAGAAAAAAAATTGTTTTCTTATCGGTCACCACGCTCAAAAAGTGTAACTTGATTTAATATCAAAGACTTAACTGCATAAACAAAATAAATAAATAATTATAATTGCATAAGTTGATAAAAAATGCTATGCAATAGCTTTACCGCGGCAGTCCCCGAGTGCCACACGTATTTTTTTTATAGAATAAGTGTGACAAACGAGCACACTGGCCACATGATGGTAATTGGATGCTGTGGTACATAGACATCGACATCTATCCTCGGTAAAGAATTAAATACAAATGCGTTGTCACCACTTAAAACTAAGATTGGATGCCTTATGCCGTAATTCGTATTTAGCTGCCATGTGGTTGCCTTTCTAGTTAAAGTTTTAGTTAAAAATTAAAGCGCATTTACGTCCCACTGTTGGGTACAGGTCTCCTCTGATTTCTGAGTGGGTCACGGGCACGGCGGACGTTTCCTTGCTTAGGGCAAGGAAACGTGCGCCGTGCTGCCCTAATGCATTTTGGCGAAATTAACGTATCTTCGAAGTATTATTTTTTTCGTGTTTCCTCACGTTGTTTTCAAGTGAGCACCAAAAAACTAAAATTTTTGCACGGGGATTAAACCCGAGTTATGTGTATGATATGTTCAGTTATCAACAAAGTCGTAGTCGTAGCTCAAGGAGCATTTCAAGCTTTTTTAACACGTTATAATAACTCTTTATATGCCTGCATATTATTTTTATTTATTTTCTTTTGATTAGTTTGCAGACCGGGAACAATTTTCTATAAGCCAAAAAACAATCGACAGGTGATGGTAAGTCAGAGGCTAAGCGATCGCTGTAAATTTCGCAGTTCGCGAACATTTACTAAAATACCGAGTGCTTGACGGTGTAGGAAAACAGCTTGAGGAGACCTGCATATCTAAACAATAAAATATTTTGAGTACATGTGATGTGTTAACCTCTCCGAAATTATGGGAGGCCTGTGACCAGCAGTAGGACGTAAAAAGGCTGGCAACTTAGGCAACTTTACTTTCTTATGACCAAATACTCAAACGCTATTCAATTCAAAGATGATATTAAGTTTCTTGGTGTCACAGTCATGATAGAAACACGAGCTTAACAGCATCTTATAGTTAAGCAGCGTTAGAGTATTTGTACATTAACTTTACAAACATTTGTTCCTTGTGGGATTCAACACGAGGTTCTCAACACCGCAACTACGCTAATGCTTAGCTAATGTGTCACCGAATCGCCTTATGTATATTCTGCACTAGTGCTGAGCACAAGCCTTTTCGCGTTACAGATCCGGTTTTATCAACTTTTTTTGTTGAGATAAGGATGACAAACCAGCACACAATCCACCTCATGGTAAGTGGTTCCTATGGCCTATAGATATCCACATCTATCCTCGATTACGAACCACCCGCGAGGATTAAGATGGAATGCCGCTTTTCCAATAAAAAGGGTCTCCGGGTCTCTACACTTACCATATGAAACATAGTAACGTTAAGCTGACATTTTACGCTGGTATTCTATGAGAGCGTGGTCCTTCCCCGGTTGAGCCCACCCATTCGTGCTGCAACTATACTACTAATATAGCTGCAGAATGGCTCTACCGCGTATAAACTTTTACAATTCTATTTTTAGATGGACGGAAATTTACAGTTTACGGTTTCCAAGATGTTTTTCAACGTTATTCGCAATGAATGACAAACTATACATCATAGGCGGCGCGGGAAAGATTTCTGAAAAGGTAAAACACTAATATTTCCCTCCCTTCCACTCCATCCTCAGCATATTAACGAAGTCTGTTCATAACATCTGTACATGTGCCTCAACCGTTTTTATCACTTCATACTAAATATTTGACTTTGAACTAATGTCGAATAAGCCTGTACAAATATATTTCATGCGGTTATCTACTTCCGGTCCAATATTGGATTATTTGCACATCCATATCTGTATGATTCATATACATATTCGTCGTTACCATTACTAACGCAAAATGATCATCTTACGCAATAACGGAAAGCCTTATTTTATTACAATGTTATTTCTAAAGTTTGTTTTCTTTCACCGATTTTTAAAAGCGACCGCATTCAATCAATCATTTTATTCGTTTTCACAGGTAACAAGGTTGACAATGTTATAATTTTATAGTACCTCCGTGAAATGCTTTAACAGCATACGAATTTACATATCCATGCATCATAAAATTAAATATATATAAAAAACAAATCAGAATGATAAAATTAAGTAGAGTCAAAATAAAATTGTTAAGTTACATATTCAAGTTATTAGTAAATAGAAATTCATTGACATTATAATAACATTCATCTATAAGAAATTTACTTAGAATAGATTTAAGTTTTTGCACATTATAACATTTTATGTGATCAGGTAATTTATTATATAATTTAGGGGCCATTTCAACAACACTTTTTTTTTTTTTTGGAAAGGTTTTTTAGGGGGGGTTTTTTTTCCTTTTTTTTTTTTTTTGTTGAGCTTTCATAATTAATTCCCTGTATTTTGATAGTCCCCAAAATATGATACCATATCGCAGGGACGAAGCCACAAAGCCATGGTACGCTGTTAGAACAGTTTTTCGGTCAGCTATTTTCGACAGTTTATATAGCGCAAATGAAAATTTATACATTCTTTTGCAGACTTCTATTGAATGCGATTCCCATGAGATGTTGCTATCTATAAATAGCCCTAAGAATTTCGCTACTTTTGCATTGGAACAATATTTTCAAATTTTATGCGGTTTTTTTATAACAGAATTTAGAAATTCTTTTAAATAGGTTTACTTTATGTTGTACTGAATATATGTATGTTCTATTAATTTTGCAGGATAAAACGCCAAGCAGTGTTGGTGCTATTGATATTTGGGACTGGAAGGAGCGGGTATGGAAACAAGAAACGGAGTTGTCAATCCCTAGACATGGCCATGCTTTAGCTTATCTCGGAACACAGCTTATTATTATAGGTATATTCATTATTTACTATAATTATTTTAGCGATAACTCGTTTGCGATTATTATGATTCTGTAGAACATTGACCGATTGTTCAACTGCGACGTTGCGAGGCAGCGGATTCGAATCTCAAACGGAACTAGTGTTTGCATGAACTACCACTATATTTTCTGCGTCTAGATATTTGTCCGCGTGCAATAAAGGTACCTATGTAAGTAAAAAAGCAATAGATATAGTATCTTTCTAAATGGCGTCATTTTTGTTGCGTTATATGTTGCAACCATGGTGACTTGTATTTACTGCCCGGGAGAAAAAATTTACTTAATTTCGTGTTTTCTTTAAATATATGGGTATAATTTTATGATTTATAGAATAAAATATAATAAACTAGTTTTTCTTATCTAAATTTATATATTATTATAACATTAGTGCTAAAAGCGAAATATAATGATAATTTCAAAACAACATTATAATACGAGTACAAAATGGCGGAAAATGGCGGGAATTGAATCGCCGCAATTAATGACAGTTACTGACAATAGATATTTGACACATAACCGGAATGGTGTGTTACCGTTGAGCAGTTATGATTTGTTAATTTAGTAAGGTATTTACAAAATGTGTGTTGTCGTTAAATTAAATTGGACAAGTACGAGTAGGACGCACCCTGAGAGCCTTTTTTATTTAAGTGGAGGTTTCGAATCGAGGAATAGTTCGTCGCGTTGCCATAATGCAGCAGACATCATCTATCTTTAAAATATTTACTGTAATTTCCAAGTACGCAGGTTTCTTCACTACCACCAAACTCGTGATAATTCAGCGCTTAAAATGCAATTAATTTTCATTAGTGTTGATGAGGCTCGAATGAGTTAACATTTCGACTACAATGATAAAATCTTTAAGGAGGTTGACTGCTTTGTTTAATTATGTATGTTATTAATATGTTACATTGTATAAAACTACGTATGTGCAACATTAAATAATGACTTTACAATTGTGATAGGCAGTATCGTGCTATCCTATCTACCACGGAGTATTTCCTTAAGTTTTTTACGGTAAAAAATAATACTTAAATGTACTTTTGAATTCAAAAAGTTTACTCTTAATAGATTCGATATTTCAGAATAATGTGAAGTATTAAAAAAATAAAAGTAGAAGGTTTTTGTTTACTTAGCGTGTAGTGGTGGTGTAAGAATATCCACTAGGTACCCCATATCATCCCGTGGGTGTCGTAAGTGTACAGAGGCAAACAAATCAGGAGATGGGTAGCAGCGTCTTCCTATAACGACTAAAAATAAAAATAAACCGCGGTTGCCAGCGCGCTTGACAAGCGTGGCAACTATGGCAAATATTCCAACTATGAGGCAGTCTATGGGAGAGGCCCATGTTCAGCAGTGGACTTATATATGCCTTAATAGTACCGATATCAAGGAAAATAAATGTACGCTATTTTACATACAATTTGAGCAGTTTTAAACAGATTTTTAGTGAATACAATTTTTGAGGGTATTCCGAGAAATCTTACAAAGTATTATTATTAGTACTGCGAATTTTGTTCCCAGTGGTCTTTCTGGTAAGACTAATGGGATATTTTCTTTCCAATAGTCTTACTTGTAAAACTACTGGGAATCTACGTGGCGTAATCCCAGTAATCTTACCTTAGAATTTTCTTACAAAGTAGACAAAGCGCGTAAGAAAATTCTCCGTAGTCCTACTCAATAAAATACATGGATTTTTTTATCAGTGCTTTAGTAGTTCATTTTAGTAGTATTAGTAGTATTATGTATTCTGTGGTATTAGGCAAGCATAAATTTGCAAGAGGCAGTACGTTAGTTTTGTTTATATTTTGTGCACTTAAACTATGTACTTATATTGAATAGTAGTACGCGTTATACTTCTGAGACAAAAATATAATATTAACAAACCAAATAGGTCTAATAGTGTTAGTTAGATAATCTTCTTATTAGACTTGAATCTGTGGACAAAGTTAAAATACAATTTTAAAAAAACATTTGCATCAATGACGCCTTGTCACTTGAATAAAATTGCTCGTATTTTTACTTCTTTTATTACTTATATTTATTTAATATATAATAAATATTTTACAAACTCACCGGGTCAAGCTAAATTATTGTATGTATTTGGTCTTGAGTTCGAATCCTTTGTCGGACCAAAAAATCAGTCAGTGAACAGACATATCTCCAAATGCATGCGGCGAGACTTACGCAAATTTAATACTGCTCGTATTGAAGAAGCGATTGAGTGGAACCAGGGCTCCAAAGAGTCTTTGCCAGAGATCTGTCTGCCAGTAAGAGCCAACTGTCAAAGCTGAAGACTGAGTGTGGCAGCATCGTTTCCGGGACACTGATTTCTGAGATTCTGAATGAGATTGAGAGGTTCTATGGGCAGCTGTACACATCATCGTTGGAGCCACATGCAAGTGTGAGTAACAACCCAAGAGCAAGTCTTATCCGACACTATTGCGATGATATCCCGGACGTCAGTCTGAGCGAGATTAGAATGGCTCTCCAGCACCTTAAAAACGGCAAGTCCCCGAGCGAGGATGGAATTACAGCGGAACTTCTGAAAGCGAGTGGGAACCGGTACTTGAAGTCCTTCAGAGGCTCTTTAATTCCGTCCTTCATGGTGGGACTACTCCGGAGGCATGGAGCAGAAGTGCGATGGTCTTGTTCTTCAAGAAAGGTGACAAAGGCCTCTTGAAAAACTACAGACCGATATCCCTTCTGAGCCGCGTCTACGTGCTGTTTTCGAGAGTCATCACGAATCGTCTCGCACGCAGACTCGACGACTTCCAGCCTCCCGAACAAGCCGGTTTCCGAAAAGGCTTTAGTACCATAGACCACATACATACCCTTCGGCAAATTGTACAGAAGTCCGAAGAGTACTATCTGCCACTTTGCCTGGCGTATGTGGACTGAGAAAGCCTTTGATTCCGTCGAAATTTGGGCGGTGCCAGTATCTTCAACGGTGCCAAGTTAACTGTCGGTATATCGAAGTGCTGAAGTTTTTGTACAGTAGGGCTACACTGGCTATCTGAGTACAGAACCAGAGTACGAAACCTATCCAAATGCAGAGAGGTGTAAGACAGGGTGACGTTATTTCCCCGAAACTCTTCGCCGCTGCATTGGAAGTGCTGGAGAGCCCTTCTAATCTCGCTCAGACTGAAGTCGGGATATCATCGGAACAGTGTCGAATAAGACTTGCTCTTGAATCGTTACTCACACTTGCATGTGGCTTCAACGATGACGTGTACAGCTGCCCATAGAACTGCCACAATTGGTCTTCATCTTCGACGGTTGGTTTTTTCTGGCAGACAGATCTACATTATGGTTTTTTTTTTCATGAATATGTACCGCAAAAGATTTAAGGAAATATGCAGTCAATGGTTATGTCAGAAAGAACGACACTAATGGCGGATTTTTTTCTGTTACTGTTATATTACTAATGACTGACTGATTTACTGAACCCAAATCAATTAGATATAATATTTTAGGTGGTGTAACAACGATATACATGCGTGCTTTAAGTAACGTCGAGTCATTCTGTTGCGAAAGAGGAGCATGGATACGAGGAGTAGCGACGCTACCTTTACCACTCTCTGGTCACGGTGCCGTCACCTTGCCACCGGCTTCCCTTATGTGATGTACTTCAACGTCACAATGATGAGGACTTATATCTAATCTACTAAGAGATCTCTTAAAAGTGTGTGATTTTATGATAAAGATTGATGTTGCTACAAATTTGCTGTTTGAATGTAGCTTCAAGATATTCTCTTTTGAAATCAAAAGTAGGATAAAAATTCATCTCAGTGCATTGTTATTTATTTATTGCGTTCTTAATGAAATTAGGAAAAAGAAAAGACTAAATAAATTACTGTGGTTTTATATAAATGTCTTTTATTTCAACTGGTATTAAGGTATATAAATACATATCTGCGATATCTGCTAGGTATACAAGGTTATTTTAAGTGTAGCCAATTTTTAAACTTAAGTACAAATATCTAGATAATGATATACCGTTGTTGCAGTTTTGTAAATACGAGTAAATAAGTCTTCTACTTTTATTTGAAATTAATCCGAATTGAATGTGGTTTATGGGCAACAACGTTTATGCCTACCGATCGACCTTTATGAATGTATGCGTGCGCAGTAAAATCAGCTAAAAAAAGGATTATCACAAAGATAACAAGGACAATGTTTGAGATTTTTGTTATTAATTTTTCTTAACCTTTTGCCTATATTATTTATTCTGAATCTTCTCGGCCGGTATTTGGTTGGCCGGTCATTGCAAAATAACCCCGTATATTATATGTACAGTCCACTATTATACAAACGGTATCGTCTGTTTACTAAGCCGAAAGCAAACTGTAAAGTTTCACGTCATTTTATAATAGACCATGGAACCCGTAATGATTCGGATGCCGTTTACAATTTATTATCGAGTCCGATCGCAAAATTAGGCGGCTAATTTATAACTATGAATTCTGTTAACTTTGTACAAAAAATGAAATCACCTACTAAGTATTATCAGAGACTAATGTCTTTGTTGTTTGTTGTTTGTATCTGGTTGTGCTGCGGCCAAAGCGTATATAAATCAGACAAGGTTCGCCACCATCGAGCGTTCGCCTAACAGACTACGTCGTTTGTTAAATGATCTGCAAACAACAAACTACTATTGGCTACTTACGTATATACTAACATTAAAATTTAATTGATGTTAAAATATACAATAAATGTTAATCTAGTCTTAAATTAATATCACATTGTTTATGGAAATAATTATAATATTTATTTATAATATTTGTAATCTCCACCTAGTCCCAGACCTCTCGGCATACTCCTGATACGTCCCTTTTGAATCCATTCCCGCAAGGAGGATACGTCTTGAAAAATATAACGTTATTCATTGGGACAAAACCATTATTGGAGTTCATATTATTGCGCATCATATCCTGAAAAAAAGAAAAACAAACAATTAAATTGAAATTCCTTTTAAAATGTTGATTGTTTTTGATTTATTATGTAATAACAAATTGAATTTTATCGATGTTCGTTAATCAATATCGCTTTGTTTGCCGATTGTCGATTGCTGTAGCTATTTTACGCCTTTGAAGCTGTCAGACTGGGTATTTTTCATCCTTAGACCAACAATTAAAGATAGTTGAAGTGTACTACGTATATTACAAATTACTCCAAAACTATGCTCAATTTCTTGATACCATTTACCTTTCTTTTTTCTTATTTTAAGCAGCCCGTAACAGTGAACGCTAATAAAACCATTTGTACGCATACATATATACATGTTAGAGCTACGCTGCAGCTATATTATGGTTGTAGCGCGAATGGGTCGGCTCGACCGGGGAAGGAACCGCTTTACTGGAATCGATGCACTCCATCTTAGTCCTCAGGGGTGACAACGCATCTGCATTTTGATTCTTAATCAAGTTTATATGTTCTATGGGCCACAGCAGTTTCTATGGTAAGTCCATCAGGTGGACTGTGTACTCGTTTGTTACCATTAGGCTATAAAAAAAATATGCACCTAAAACATGATGTTGGTTGCGAATGATCTTAGGTACATGTGTGCATAATTACATGTTCTTACAATAAGTTGAGCATGGTTTTGACTTGACTTCGGCGTCACTTGAAATGTACGCAATGCTCCCTCTGTCTTTCTTTATTGGTCTGTATTATATATGAACGGAACGAACTGTGAGCCTCAAAAGGGCTAGAAGCCAAAGCCGTAAAGCCAGTTAAAAAAAAGATCGAACTGTGGTGATGGAAGCTACTTTATGTCGTTGCAAGCATAAAATATTTTTTCAGTACCTAATTCTTGCTAGATATTTATTTGTCTATGACCTCATTATCGTAAACTAGCAAATATCGGCCATATAATGCAAATTTTGTTGGAATAAAAAAACCATACGTAATGCGTACGTTTTATGAATAATGCCATTGACATGCGGAAGAAGAGTAAATGTAAAATTTATGGATTGTCGGCTAGGCGAACAAGCTAGGTTAGTAGCACCTAGGTTACAGTACACATTGAGTAGCTGTTGCAGCCTATGTGCACACACAACCAAACAAAGTAGACGATATTTTAATTAATGATTTCTTATATTTACGCGAACACTACACATTGAAATAATACTAGTTTTTACGGAATTTATCGCGTATATTTAACTTTTTATATGTTTAATATGCGTATATTTAATTTCCCGCCCGTGACCATGAGTGCTGTAAAGCGTTCGAAACGTCGGGTATTTAAAAAGTTAAATATACGCGAAAAATTCCGTAAAAACTAGTATTATTTCAACGATATTTTAATTATCATATCTAAGGGCAACGATAACTGGCTCCCACTATTATGTTACAAGGACACAACGGTGTGTGCATCGTTTATGGCAGTAATTAGGTATTGGATGCCACCAAACCAAACAGACTGTAGCTTTTAATTTTATTACAGCAAGCGGCATAAAAATGAAATTATTAATTCTAAGTAATTCTGACTTGCATTTTAAGTACTGCACATGCTCGACCACCTAGGAAACTATCATGAGGAAAATTGCATTACTGAGAAATATAAAAAACGAGAACAGTGGAATCTGCCATTACGCACGCGTCAAACCGAAATGCTAAAAATAATATATGTACCCAACCGAGATGTTTTTAGTCTGTGAAGTAACTTTTTCATCTGCATGCATTTTTTTCTTCCATTTTAATTAAAAAGGATAATTGATAAAATTATTAATAAATAAGTTAGCGTAATTTTTTTTCTATATTTTTAATTCTATTAATCAAAGTAATCATCCATGTAATCGATGCATCTTTGCTAACACAGTGGCAGTTTATTGATGACCCTTCTTGGAAAAATAACCTGGACGGGAGGCAACAAATTCTTCAGAAGCATTTTGTACTGCCTCTCGGGTATTGAATTATTTTCCCGCCAAACAGTTATTCAAATTCCGAAAGAAGTAGAAGATGTAGGCGCTTCAAGATCTGGTGAGCACGACGGATGACGGAGAGCTTCCAGCCCCGGCTCTTGTAACTTGAAGATCGTCTGTTGTGCAGTCTGAGGTCGCACGTTATCGTGTAGAAGCAGCGGGAACGAGCGATTGACCAAAGCTAGTTGGAGACTTGCGAGCTTCTCCATCATTGTGTTCAGTTCTTCACAGTACACACCTGCAGTAGAGCTGATTCCATTTGGTAAGAAGCTGTGATGAATCACAACGGCGCTAGACCACTAAACAATGACCATCACTTTTCTCAGGGTAATTCTTCATTAAGGGTTTTGTTTAGATGCTGAACCAGAATCCAATTTGTTACCTTGCCAATTTGACGCAAATAGACCAATATTGTTTTGATGCTAACGTCGATAGCTACTGTTCAGCCGTAGATTGAGTATCATCAGCGTCCACAATCGCCTTTAATCCGTCATTGTCAACCAAAGTTTTCGGACGAGCACGGGGTTCATTCTTCAGGTCTAAATTTTCAGAATGGAAGCAGGCAAACCAATAACGGGTGTTGCGATCGTTTGTAGTATTTGCTTCTTAAACATCGTTGATGTTGCGTGCCGCATGTGGCGCGTTGCTGCCACGACGGTACTCATTTTCCTATTATTTTTAACGTATCCGTGATGACGAAAAAGATTCAAATGTGATGAAAGCATAACGCTAATTAATAAAAAATGACTAATTTTGAAAAATAAATTCCATGTTTTTAAAGTAAAATTAATTTGAAATTAGAATTCTTAGCCAAACAAAAGTTATTTTGATTCGAAATGGCCAGTACTGCATAACGACAATTTCATAGGTAAAGATCTATTACATAGGTATTAGGTAAGTAGATAAATGTGTAAATAAATGAAGCTTTTTGAAGCTTGAATCAACCGATTGATATAGATATAGATAGAGTACGTAACAAGAGTAAAATATTATCATAAATTAAATATTATTAGCAAGTTATGCCGTTTCTCTCCATTTCTCCACCCATAAAAATTATTTCGATTAAAATGAGAAATGGTTCCATTTCAAGTATATTTATAAAGTGACTTTTAAATATTGTCATGAAAACTATAATTATAATTATAAAAAAAGCTATGGGCACTTAGTTTTAAACCTAAATATAAAACTATGCAAATATTTTGTTATACAAAAAAAATATAATCAAATTAGACAATGATACATTTTGCATAATTATATGAATATTACATGAATATTTAAATGATTAAAAGAGAAATTATAACACAGATTAAATATTAAATTTAATGATATATAAAATGATATAAGTATATACTTACGATTGACAATTTTTCGGCATCCGCTTTTGGCTCCATAATGGTGAGTTTCACATCAGGGTTTAGAATTTCTGGTACATATATATGTCTAGCGTCTCCAAAAACTCCAAACAAAGCAAACACGACTAATATAAATGTAAGTCGAATCATGTTATTGTTAATTCTTAATTCTTCAAAAACTTCAAAGTAATCCACAGGAACTTGCTTTCCGTAGCGTCAATGTTTGTATGCTAAATAAGGATCACATCGGTCGTCTTATAACTGATGCCGATTTTGTTGTTATCTTTCCAATGTATCTTGTACGTCATAGGTACTTAGGGTATTCACCGTCTTATTAAAGGAGTTTTTGTTAAGTTTGCCACGTTTTTGCATTCCGTGTTGCATTTTTTCTACTTTATACTACTCTCCAAAATTGCTTTATAAATTTTTTTATTTAATTCGATAAACATACTACTGTTTAAATACTTAGGAAAATTGATAAGTACTCCATTTTTTCAAAGAACTGAATTGGGAGAGGCCGGGCGGAGCTCTTTAAACTGGTAAGACACATCATTTTATTTTGTTACGCGGATTTAGCATTATTTTTTTGCTATGACCATCCGCGAGTCTAATCGACCACGTCCAAATGGCTACAGATTTCTTGCTACAACAGATTCCATCCACATAGATCGTAATACTTGGTGATTTTAACGCCCACCACGCCTAATGTCTCGGTTCATGTTTAACCGATCATGTGTGGAGATCTGTTTATCACTTTGCCTTGGCATATGGTCTGACACGACTGGATCGCCTACGTGGATTCCAGATGTTGAAGATCATACACCTTTCCTGTTGTACTTTTTTTCTATAGACGAATCGTCGATAGAAGAATCGTCAGCGACTGAACACGGCTGACGTTCTGATCGGCTTGACTCATTGACGCTGTAAAGAGATGTTACATCTCTTTGCGTATTCTATCGTATTTACCATGGGAATAGCTCAGAGGAATTGTTTGGATTGATTCCAGTCGCTCAATTTCACCATCGCACATCGCGACAGAACTCGAGATACTATCCTTACTACCTAGATGACTGGCGGTCCAATATTGTTTACAAGGTTTTCTTCCTCGCGCAACTTCTTTGTTGAATCGACTACCATCAGCGATTTTCCGGACCTATAGGGACCTTCAAGAAAAGATCCTACTCTTTTTGAAAGGCCGGCATCGCATCTGCAATTCCCCTGGTGCTGCAGCTGTTCATGGGTGGCAGTACAGTCATTTGTCATGAGGTGAGCCGCATACTCGTTTGAATATAAAAAAAATTACAACTTTAATATAACGGATTTCCTCAAAGTAGCGCCCGATTCTATTAATTGTGATGAAATATTTTCAAACATAGAATCCGTCGTATTCCGTTAATGTCAGTGATAAACCATCGTTTCTAGACACTTCATGGGGCACACAAAATTGAACTTATAATTCTCAAGATATGAGATAAAGTAAAGAATTCAACTTCCTTACTCCCTTTGCCATATGTATCAAAGGATAAGCCATTTGAAAACATCATTATGCACTAAAGACAACATACACATACCACTAATTGGTAGCATTATAGCTATCACTTACAAAGTCAAAAGCTTAAATTGTGAAGTGCCTATAATTTTATAACAAAGATGAAGAAAAATAGTAACAATGAATCTATAATTAAATGTTCAAATGGGTATGCTTGAAGATTAACTATAACAAAGAGCACAAACTAGGAAAATGCAGGCCATAGGCTCTGGTTTTTCAAATATAGGATGAGGGTGACAAACGAGCACACAGTCCACCTGTTGGTAAGTGGTTGCTGCAGCCCATAGACATTTACATGATGCGTTATCACCCGTGAGGATTAAGATGAAATGCCTCGTTTCTAGTAAAATGTGTTTCCGGTTCACTACACTCACTATACGAAACACAGCAACGTTAAGCTGCTATTTTACGCTGGTATTCTGTGGGAACGTGGTCCTTCCCCGGTCGAGCCGACCTATTCGTGCCACATAGGTATATATTACGAATATAGTTGCAGCATGGTTTTACCACGTAAAATATAGGCAAAAAAATATAAACACTAGCACTTATTTAAACATAGACAAAAAGAAGTTTAATCAAAGGTTTTAAGGCCTATGTTCAACAGTGGAGTCATGATACAACACATATTTTAAATATAAGATAATTGTAATGCACGTAGCAGCCCTAGTAAAGAGGTTTACTCTAGTAAAAAGGTGCCGCCAGGCAGACTGTAGTGTTTTGTGTGAATGACGCAATAATAATAAAATTTACGTCATGAAATCATATAATAAATGGCAAATTTTTTTGTCATTACAAAAATGGCGAAATATTAACATCAAAAACTACGTGGTAATAATATCATTCACCTTTTCTTTTGACTCCTCAATATCCTCCGATAGAGTTATCGGTCGATAGGTATCCGCAGTATCCTTATATCCTTATAACGACCTAACAAGTTTTCGTAAACTAAGAAATATAGAAACACTGATTGTTTACCTTCGTTTTTCTTTATATTTTATCTTTTATAATGTACTATTTCGTATTCGTATTTTTAATGGTAGATAGAGGAAAACTTTGTCTATTGAGCCTTTTTTTAAGTTGAATAAAATTTGCAGTGGCTAATAATCTATCTACCAAGAAATAATAAAACTACCTAATTACAAGAGGGTTAAACTTAAACCATTCTTAATTGGTCTAAGGGATTAAAGATCAAAAATTTTGTTCGTACATAAATATGATGAATTTCTTGCATTTTATTTATTTATACGTGGTAAAGCCGTGCTGCAGTTATACTAGTAGTATAGTTGTAGCACGAATGGGTCGGCTCGACCGGGGAAGGACCGCGCTCTTCCAGAATACCAGCGTGAAATAGTAGCTTAATGCTGCTGTGTTTCGTATGGTAAGTGTAGAGAACCGGAGACCCATTTTACTGGAAACGAAGCATTCCATATTAGTCCTCACGGGTGACAACGCATCTGCATTTTGATTTGTAATCGAGGATAGATGTAGATGACTATGGGCCACAGCAACCACTTACCATCAGGTGGAGTATGTGCTCGTTTGTTACCCACTCCTATAAAACAAAAAAATTTTCTGTGCCAAAGTCTGAATGCGCCTTGTCAGACACCCATTATTACCTAGTATCACACTATCTAGTAATAGTGTTCTCTGTTTGTCGCCGAAGTATTTCTACAAGTATTAATTTTTCTTGATCAACTAGAAAACTAGTCAGTCAAACAGCCTATAAACATCATATTGTCAAGGCACAGCCTCCTCCCATTTCTGAAATGACAATAGAGCTAAGAAGTGTAATGTGACGTAAGATTTATTTACATATAATGAACACGATTAAATCTATGTGTTATCTTCAATAGTGATGAACTTATCGCACTTTTTACGAAAACATTTGAATACGCTATTTTCCTTAAGTATTTCCCAAGTACAGTGTAGTTTTAAATTTCTAGGAAATCTATCTAAATCAATTCAGGACAATGGAAGTGAAACAAATTGTTAGTGATTTTAATCAAAACAACAACATTACAACGGTTTTTGCAATAACAATAACAAATATTATCTAATCATAGATATATAATAAGTACTAACGCTCATATTATATAACCACTGATACAAATTAATGCTAGTTGTAGAGATTAGTGACAATACTAGGTTTCCCTGTACTACAGCCACCACGCCTTCACCACCGGACAAAGAATCACATGGAATGTATGTTTAATTATGTAGTCTCTCATTAATGTAGGATAATCACAAATGCGGAAAAGTGGCAACATTGAACCTAAATGGCAATATTCGATAAATTTATTTAATTATTTGAGGTTTTTTACGTTTATAGGAAAACAAGAACTAAAAATTATGTGTTGAAAGTGATGCCGCTTGATTTATTACGTTTTTGTGACCTTGAATAGCATTCTTTCACTACACATTTTACCCATTTTTGTCGCGGCTCAACTCTGTCGGCGTCGCATTGAATAATGAACTCACGTTAGCTAGGCATATGGCTGTGGCCATATGTGCAGTGGCAACGCTTTGGCGCGGTTATTACTGATCTAGGGTTATATAAATCAATGTGCGACCTTTATAGTATCAACGAAAATCTGTGTGCAAAATACCTATTTTTCGTTTACAAACAAGGTTCGCTATATTATACGAATAGGTCGAATTATTCTCAGAAATCGATCACGCCATATTACGTATTTTGTAAGCAAACAATGCGTTTGCATTTTATGTAACATGAGTGAGCCATTCCCAATAATGTAAACACCGAAGTATATTTCTTTTTAACGGTTTATCAAAGATTTCCAAACCTTGATTTAATCTTATCGTATATCATTACTTTTCATTTTATGGATAATATGTCGCCTTTTTTAAAATATATTTTAGGTAATATACATAATAGGTATATATCTATCTATATATCTATCATTAAAACTGCGTCAATCTCGTGACCACGGATGGTATACATGGCTGCTATGCATTCTTTGACTACATATACGGGCGATTTTACGTGCAAAAACACAAGTATTGGATACAGGGTCTGATAATGTTGTATTCCCTACGTTTCTAAACCAGCTTTCTAGCCTACCTCCAATCTAGTGGCGTAGAGCCGCGGGTGGCAGATTTTAATAATTTTTGGAAGGAAAAATTAGCTACACGCCTTAAATTTAAGTCTTGAAAATTTGAATAGAAGCCGAAAAATAGTTTGGATTAAAATATAACACCGCAGCATTAAACATTACGAAAATAGAGATAATTTGCACTAACGTCTGCATGTTTCATCAGGTCATCATTCATCAGGCGGGGGGCCATCGAAAACCTTTCTTGCCCATCGGTTGTCGGGTATTTGAGATATATGACTATGAGATACTCGTATATGATATATGATATACTGATTAGTTGAGCTATCTTCTATTCTTACTACAATATATATTTCAATACAAAATTATATTACTTACTTCCAAAATAAAATAACATTATTGTTTTTGCTATATATTAAATCTTAAAAAATACATTCAGTTGTCATAATTTTGCCAATGTGATTCATTGGTTATTGCTCTGCGACGGCGAATAATGCATTGAAGATTGGTTCCCATTACCTCGCCAGGTGGACATGTTGTCTTGTCTACAAATAAAGAAAAGTTTGACTTTATATTATAATATAACATCAGCGGCAGCCGTGGTAGCTCAGGTGCTTACCGCTCTCTGTAAATTTCATCGTACGGGAGCAACCCGGGTTCGATTTTCGCCGGCATCAATGAAATTGTTGATTGAAATTTTATGTGCTGATTTACCACGTACTCGGCGGTGAAGAAAAATATCGTGAGGAAACCTGCATATCTGAGAAATGAGAAAAAAATATTACGAGATATGTGAAGTTCGCCAAGACACTTTAGCGTGACGGACATTTCCTTGCTCTAAAACCCTCCCAGAAATGAGAGGAGCAGCAGTAGGATGTATATAGACTATAATTTTAACTTGTTTGAAGTAAATGATAACTAAACATTAGTAAATAACTCTATGATATTAATAAAATTATATAACAAAATTGATTTAAGCGCGTTTTGAACATGCGTAAATATGGGTTCCACCTAGTCGTGATTATCTATTATATTCTCAAAGTAAACAATTGCAGCATTTTATATAATTTTAATTGAAATTACTTATTAAAATATATTCTTAAAATTTGCCAATTTTTATACTCCAATAGATGATGTTACCATCCCATTTCGTTATCATCTCTGACTACTAAAATAGAATTATATATATATATATATATATATATATATATATATATATATATATATATATATATATATATATATATATATATGTATATAGAAACGGGAGTATAAATATGCTGCTATTTTACACTAATATTTTGTGAAAGCGTGTTACTTTCTAGATCGAGTCTACCCATTCGTACTACACATATATAAGATGCCAATGGAGCTCTACCACATAATGCGTGATTTATCAAACAATATAAATACCTTTAAATTATTGTTAATTAAACTCATTTATAGTTTTTCATTTTAAAATTAAAATCTTTATCGAGAAAATAAATCCATAAATGTTTATCTTATTCAGTCAAAAGCTGTAAAAGTTATAATACTCCGACTTTGACATTTTAGGACAGTACTTTTACATTTTCCTTCATGGAAAGCGGAACTAATAAATTATACTAAAACTAGACTGGACGACCAATCGTATAAACTTTTCAGTAGCAAAGTGCACCACAAGTGAACCAATCGAACCGACAGTTCCTTCAGCGAATGACAAAAATACATAAAAACTACTTAGTTTTTTAAATAATTTATTATTTTATTTTAAGTAACTCACAATTTAAATTTATCTGCTGACTGAGATACCACTTATTCGCCACTTTTAGGTTTATGAGTTACAGTTTCCCTACGATACACCGCCCGGCTGTAAGAATTATCGGAGCCACCATAGTCATCAGACAACATTGATCCCAAAGTAATCGTTGGGTTACAGCTAGCCAGAAACGGAAATGCGCAATCACGTGACTGATTTTCAGGGTAATGTGCAATTAAAAACTCATCACTATTCATATCTGTAGCACTTACAGGATAAGGTGCACGAAATACCTGTTTATATTGATCATACGGATTACGTGGCATTGGGACCTCCATCGTAGGTATCAAGTTTTTCATTATAGCGTCTTGAGAAAGCTCCGCCCAGAACTCTTCGTCGGAAGATAGTGTTCTTTCCGGTGTTATATTTACTGGCAGCAATATAGTGTTTTGTGGAGTATGTATGTCTGGATTATAATTTATTTGTTCTGTATTTTCGCGAAACGTAGACAAGGCGTCGGTTGGAGATAGATAGACAGGGACAACTGGCGGTAAGTACCGAACAGCGAATAACTTGGGATGTATTCGTCCATTCATCAGTCCGAGCATACCTAAATTTTCTCTGCGTGGGACCCACGGCTGTGAATCTATTGAGGACGGTGATGGGGCCATTTTAAAATCTTTATTGTGAAGCATTTTTTCATTTTGTTTGCTGTATATATTAGGAGTTAGTTGCGTTAAAATTCTTGACGCCGCCATTCGACTTCCCGTTTCATCTTCTAAAACATCCGAGCTTTCTTCTTCTGAACATAATTTCAAATTTAAGTTATTAGAAGACCCGCTGACATCATGTATAGTCTCTATTATTTTTGTACCAGATGGCTTACGCTCTTCTCCGTTTATTGTGGAGCCAAAGTTTAAAACGTAATAAATAATTAATAAATATATTAATCTGGCACTGTACTTCATTATGAATAAACGTTATAGACACTAATTTCAACTTTGTTCAGAAACGCAACCGTGTCTATTATTTGATAATCAGCACTAGTATCACATTTCATTTGTTTGCAGTTTAAAAAGTAATCCTACTCTAGTGAATACCACGTCATTATAATTCTTGTTGGTAATACCCAAAATATTTCGTCTATATTAAAAAATGTGTGGTTGCTATTTGGCCCGCTCTCACTTTCCATTTAGTGGTTTATTTTAAATTCGATTTTTTTTTCTAGGCTTTACTCATTACTACAGAATAGGTTTTAATAAAATCGTTTATTAAAACAATTACGCTTCTGTTCTGTGATTTCTTACCTGTAGAAATAGTCTGTAGCTCTATATAATAACTCATTAGTGACTCATAATTATTCTTTAACTTTTGGTGTATTGCATAATTACACTACTTTTCAATTTAGCATGAGATTTTGTGGAAACATAAAATATAAGATATGTAAGAAGGTAAGGTTAGGAAACACTATTTTTATGTTTGCATAAAATTTCCTTAAAATTAAAAAGGGGGTGTAATATATTGTATATAACATTGTATTATATGTACACAGTACAAGTAGTACAAAATACAAATAAGGAGTAAAATGGTTAGGAAGGTGTTTTTGTTTCAATAAAATCATAACACACTAAAAATCGTAGAATAATTACAGTTCGCAAATGAGTTATTACTTATTATAGTGCTTTACAGGCTCTGTCTACAGGTAAGAAATTTTTTTAAAATTAAAAACAATCAAATCATAAAGATTAAAGTCTAGACAAAAAGAATTTAAAATTATCATCATCATTCATCATTACAGCCCTTCACAAGTCCACTGCTGAACATAGGCCTCCCCCATGTAAATCGACTTCCTGCATGTCTTACCAGGTCGTCACTCCATCTAGTGGGTGGTCGCCCAACACTACGCCTACCGGTACGAGGCTGTCACTTGAGAAGCTTTTTTCCCCATCCGTTGTCGGTTCTTCGAGCTATATGGTTGGCCCATTGCCACTTTAATTTACTAATCCGTTGGGCTATGTCGGTCACTCTGGTTCTACTGCGGATATCCTCATTTCTAAGTTTATCACGCAGAGAAACCCCGAGCATAGCCCTATCCATAGCTCGCTGCCTTGAGCGTCTCCATACGGCCAGCAGTGAAGGACCACGTCTCAAATTCATAAGTCATCACTGGCAACACGCACTGGTTGTAAAGTCTCGCTTTTAGGTTTTGAGGTATACCTGACAAGAAGATTTGTCGTAATTTCCCGAACGCTGCCCAGCCGAGTTGAATCCGTCGATTGACTTGGCGGTCGAAGTTGGACTTAGGTACCTAGTCGGACTATTTGTCCCAGGTAAACGTACTCATCAACAACTTCGAGCATAGTGCTCCCAACAACTACCGGCATAGGTGTGACATGGACATTAAACATGATCTTTGTTTTGTCCGTATTAATCTTAAGACCTATTCGTTGGAAGACACCATTGAAGTCATTGAGATTAGTGCTTAGGTCCTTCAGCGATTCTGCCATAAGGACTTATATCGTCGGCAAATTGAAGGTGAGTGATGTACTCGCCATTGACGTTATACCATATCCTTTCCAGTCCAGTAGCTTGAAAACATCTTCCAATGCAGCGGTGAAGAATTTCGGAGATATAACATCACCCTGTCTTACATCTCTCTGCAGTTGGATAGGTTTCGTACTCTTGTTCTGTACTCGGATAGCCATCGTAGCCCTATTGTACAAACACTTCAGCACTTCGATATACCGACAGTCAACTTGGCACCGCTGAAGAGACTGTAACACCGCCCAAATTTCGACGGAATCAAAGGCTTTCTCATAGACCACATACGCCAGGCAAGGTGGCAGATTGTACTCTTCGGTCTTCTGTACTGCAGGGTATGTATGTGTTCTATGGTACTGAAGCCTTTTCGGAAACTGCCTTGTTCGGGAGGCTGGAAGTCGTCGAGTCTCCGTGAGAGACGATTCGTAATGACTCTCGAAAACTGCACGTAGACGCGGCTCAAAAGAGAATACACTATGTAGTTCTTCAAGAGAGCGTTGTCGCTTTTCTTAAAGAACAAGACCAAAATTTCAATCAAAATTAGCCACTATATAATTGGAAAGCAAACCACACTTTTTTCTTATAGATAAAATATTTTAAGTATTACAATTTATATAAAATAATATCTACAATACAGGGTTTTTTTTTTTCAAAGAGTAGCCAAATTTTAAACTTAAATTCAAATATGTAAATAATGATATATCGTTATTGCAGTTTTTGAAAATATGAGTAAATAAGGCTTCTACTTTTATTTGAAATTATCTCAAATTGAATGTGATTTATGGGCAACAACGTTTTTGCATACCGATCGACCTTCACGAAAGTGTGCGTGCGCAGTAAAATCAGTTAAAATAAGCATTACCACGCATTATGAATTTAAAAGATAAAAAGGACAGAATGTTTGAGATTTTTTTTATTAATTTTTCTTCACCAATTGCCTATATTACTTATTCTGAACCATCTCCGCAAATTTGGCCGGGAATTACAAAAACAAAAAGCGGGCTTAATGATTTAGGTTGGGCAATAAATTAAAAATAAATATTATCTAGTAAAAGCCTATTCACTCCTCAGCTGGCACTGGCGAATAACCGGAGAACCTTAGTCTTAGGTATGCTGGTTTTCTCGTGGTATAATTTTTATATATTAAATTTAGAAAATCAAAATGGTGACAAGCGACCTCACTTTAGAGCAACAGGGGCCAACAAGCCTGTATCTAACAGCGGGTCATAATATAGACTTTAACTGCATAACTTTAACTTAAATTTTGACTAACATTCAAAGTTTTTTAAGACTGATCAAAATCTTAAATTCGATATTGGCGTTCTACTAGGCCTGAGGACCTCACTGCTCTTGTATTATAAGACAGCTTATGAGTGGACTATCTCTTTTTTATCCTTCTTCTTATCAGCCAATAAGTGTGTTCAATGGCCTTCCCATTGTACGGAATGTGACCACGCTTTACCTGTAACGTCCCCGTCGCTGTTCTTGATATTTTATTGCCCAGCGTAAACGGAGTGTAACTTTCTGGCATATTTTCTTACCGACAAGTTAAAATATCGCGTTAACAACATTTTCAGATAAAATATGAACTTATTTTTATTTATATGTTTTTTCAATTATTACAGCTCCATGGTGCAGTGGCTTAGCAATGAGTTGCAGCGATAAGGGCTGCGGGTTCGAATCCTGTACGGAACAAGTAATTGTATGGCCTACAAATAAATGTTCCGGGGTTGGATATTTGTCTTTGTAAAATTAATGTATTTTAATTATCCCCATGATACAAAAGAAAGTCCTAGTGTATTGAAAGTAAGGTTTAAAAAAATATAGTTACAAAATACAATAAATAAAATATAAGCCTATGTTATTAATGACGTCCGACAGGAGCTGGAGGCGGCTGAGGGAAATAAACCGAAGATGATGAGTGCAATAATTATAAAAAATCTGTTGTGTGTGCGAGTTTCGAGTAGGTACTCGTAACTCGCCTGGCAATCGTGGCAACTGTGACAAAAAGTTAACGAATGATGAACGAAAATTATAAAATAATCGTTAAATGTTAAATTATACCATATAATATACTTCAGCTTAAAACGCACAGAAACAAAGAGAGTGCGGGCATAAAAATTTTGGGCGAGTTTCCAGCCTCTGAGCTCTGTGATTCCTTTTAAATTTACTTAAATTTTCTAGGGACTAAACATTTGTTGCAGCAGTAGTATTTTATAAAGACATCCTATGACCTGTATTGATCCTTTCATGTTTATTTCAAAAATCATCTAATATAAAACCCACGGATCGCACTGGGATAATAGATTCTCTTTCGACTCCACAACATAGATGAAAATAAATAAGAAAATATAATATATCTGTACACATAAAATATCTATTGTCTCACTAAAACTCAAAAGTGGCTCGACCGATAATGATAAATTTTTGGCCCGCCAGGTGGCTCTTTTGTCGAGATTCAGAAATCACCCGTGCTAAGCCGAGCGGATTGCAAGCATCTACTATCTAACATAATATGTCTCGGTAAACCATCATTTGTGACCCATAATGACTTTTTGTTCTTTTTTTATAGAATAAGGGTGGCATACGCACACAGTCAACCTGATAGTAAGTGGATGCTGTGACCGTTAGACATCTACATTTATTCTCGATTAAGAATCAAAAAGAAGATTCTTTGTTACCCCTGAGGACCAAGATTGAATGCCTCGTTTCCAGTAAAAAAGAGTCGCCAGATCTCTACACTCACCATACGGAACGCAGCAGTATTAAGCTGCTATTTTACGCTGGTATTCTGTGAGGACGTGGTCTTTATCCAGTCGAGCCGACCCATTCGTGCTACAACCATAATATAGCTTTCAACTTAAAATAGAATGAAGCAAAATAATTGACTAGATACCGCGTTACACACATTCATGATTCTATTCTTTATGGTTAATTTATTTTTTCACAACGTAATTAGTTATTATGGCAGAATTACAAATGTATTAAAAAATATGTACACAAGGTGTAAGTGTAAACACCGTTTTCACTAAAACCATTGGTAGTTCAGTTAGTAGGCTTTAATATAAAAATATTTATCCGAATTCTAAAAAACACCCTATTTTCTTTCATAAATTCATGGATACCCTATGCGCCCGGGTGACGTAATCACTGTAAAGATCACCGCCCGCGCTAGCTACCTACACTATATTCCAATAAAAACACAATAGGTACACATAACCTGTGATGTAAATTTTCCTTCATACTTTCACCTAGGGCATGCAATTCGGATATCCGGATATCCAAATTATTCGGATATTCGCCTCGTTTATTATTCGAATAGTATATTTATAATTATTCGGTTTTTACGAATATTTCGAATACTATCTTATTTTGATTTGTTTAAAATATCCGAACGTAAACCTACTAAGTTACGTGAAAAACATGC